CCAGAGGAAGGTAGCCTCATTGTTAAAAAGTACGTATGTCGAATCCTTGGGTCAAAGGTCACTTATCGATCCAGGATTCTAAAAAAAAAAAAAAAAAAAAATTTATTTTTATTTTTTGTTTTTATTTTAAAAAAAAAAAATTCTGCTTATTTGTGTCGCTTCTTTGTAAGGCACGCTTATTTTTTTTTTTTACGTGATTTTATTATTTTTTTTTTTTTTTTTTTGGGGTGGTTTTTGGGATTTCTCCCTCCCTTCGAATTATTTAAAAGGCAAAAGATAAATAGTCGGGGGAAAAAAGAATTTTGTATACGGGGGGAGGGGGGTGGAAAGAGCCTTCGATGGTGTAGCCTTACACCATCGAAGGTGAACTTTTAACCTTTTTTTTTGTTACTGTGTGTGTTTCGAACGTTAATGACGAAATTATCCCACGTGATTTCAGAGGATGAAGACATGGATCGTATATTTAAGTTACCATCGACGACATTCATTGGAGGAGCTAAAGAAAAATCACTGAGCCTTAGAGAAATATTGAAAAGACTGGAAAACGCTTATTGCAGGTTTGGAAACTGTTATTATTATCATCATCATCGCGATTGTTTTGATTAATTGCGAAATTTTGAATTTGTGTAATTTTTTGCCGCCACGTTGTTTCAGGCACATCGGTTGCGAATTCATGTTTATTAATTCATTGGAACAATGCAATTGGATTAGGCAACGGTTGGAAGTTCCCGGAGTCATGGAAATGGATAAAGATCAAAAGAAATTGATATTGGCACGACTGACGAGAGCACACGGGTGAGAATTTTTTTTTACGATGTTTGCGGTCCGTGAGTCGGGCCTTTCCCCCCCCCCCCGCATCGGGTCAACGGACGTTAATGATTTTTCTCATTTTAGATTCGAAGCTTTTCTCGCGAGAAAATGGTCGAGCGAAAAAAGATTCGGTTTGGAAGGATGCGAAATATTGATTCCCGCCATGAAACAAATCATTGATAAGTCAACGGAATTGGGAGTGGAATCCATTGTCATGGGTAAAATTTCAAAGGAAATAATTAAAAGTTTTTTTTGCAAATGTTGAAATCCTGACTGAAATAATTTTTTTTTCCATCTTTTTCTCCGTTAGGGATGCCACACAGAGGACGATTGAACGTTCTTGCAAACGTTTGCAGAAAACCGTTGGAACAAATTTTCACACAGTTTGCCGCTTTGGAAGCAGCCGATGACGTAAGTATCAGGTATGAGTTCGGTCGTTGAATGTATATGGAAGACGGTTAAATTTAAAAAAAAAATTTTTTAAAAGGGTTCGGGTGATGTCAAATACCATCTTGGGACGTACATAGAACGTCTCAATCGTGTCACGAACAAGAACATACGATTGGCCGTGTGTGCCAATCCGAGCCATTTAGAAGCCGTCGATCCCGTCGTTCAGGGAAAAACTCGAGCCGAGCAATTTTATCGCGGAGACGGAGAAGGGAAAAAGGTAAAATTTTTCTCGCGGAAAAATGCCTTGGAATCAATTGTCTGTCGTCTGTTAAATAAACGAATGAATTTTGTTTTCCACAGGTCATGTCGATGCTCCTTCACGGTGACGCTGCTTTTGCCGGACAGGGTGTCGTGTACGAAACTTTTCATTTGTCGGATTTACCCGACTACACGACACACGGAACCATACACATCATCGTCAACAATCAAATCGGTTTCACGACGGATCCCAGGTATTCGAGATCCTCCGCATACTGTACAGGTTTGTTTGTTTGTTTGTTGTTTGTTTCGTCAAGAGTTTTTTTTTTTTATAGGAGGATAATAATAAATTGTTTGTTTTTTCTGTTTGCAGATGTTGCTCGAGTCGTAAACGCTCCCATTTTCCACGTTAATTCCGATGATCCGGAAAGTGTCATACACGTTTGCAACATTGCGGCAGAGTGGCGAGCGACTTTTCACAAAGATGTCGTCATAGACATTGTGTGCTATCGTAGAAACGGACACAACGAAATCGACGAACCGATGTTCACGCAACCTTTGATGTATCGGAAAATCAAGAAAACTCCACCCGCAGTTCAAAAATACGCCGAGAAATTAATCGGCGAAGGAATAGTTACCCCGGAAGAAGTCAAAGTAAGTCGGGAAAGGAGTAGGGAAGTGGGGGTTTTTCACTGGTGTCATCATCTGGAAAATTTTTTTTTTTCTTTGTTTTTCCAGGACGTGAAAGAAAAATACGACAAAATTTGCGAGGAAGCATTGGTCAACAGTCGTAAAGAAACTCACATTAAATACAAGGACTGGTTGGATTCGCCGTGGTCTGGATTTTTCGAAGGGAAAGACCCGTTAAAAGTCGGACCCACGGGAATCAAAGAAGACACTTTGATTCACATCGGTAAAAGAGTTTCGAGCCCTCCTCCGAACGCGGCGGAATTTGTCATACACAAAGGTAACGATGACGTCAACTCTTTTTACAATTTTCCCACGGGAATGAAAAAAAAAAAAAAAAAAAAAAAATTTTTTTTGTTGTTTTTCTGCAGGTCTCGAACGTATATTGAAAGCAAGAATGGAAATGGTCGAATCGAAAGTCGTCGACTGGGCTTTGGGAGAAGCCATGGCTTTTGGTTCTTTGCTCAAAGAGGGAATACACGTTAGACTCTCCGGTAAACCTTTGGGTGGTTTTTGTTGTGTCAATGAGAATAAAATGGGCGAAACCTGCTTCAAACCTGTTTTTTCTTTTTCCAGGACAAGATGTCGAAAGAGGAACTTTCTCTCACAGGCATCACGTTTTACATCATCAACTCGTGGATAAAGCTACGTACAGGCCTTTGTGTAATTTATATCCCGATCAGGCTCCCTACACCGTTTGTAATTCAAGCTTATCTGAATTTGCTGTTTTGGGTGAGTACGGGTCGGACTTCATCATCATCATCATCATGTCGGACGACATCTTGGAAAAGTATCTCATTTTTCTTTTCTTTTTTTACCGAAGGTTTCGAACTCGGTTACTCTATGACTAATCCAAATGCTCTCGTCTGCTGGGAAGCACAATTCGGTGATTTCAACAACACGGCTCAATGCATAATCGATCAGTTTATTTCTTCGGGTCAAGCGAAATGGGTACGACAATCGGGATTGGTCATGCTGTTGCCACACGGATTGGAAGGAATGGTACGCGGGTGAATTTTTACTTATCATTATTATGTTTAAATTTGATAATTATTATTATTATTATTCATTCATTCATTCATTCGATGAAGGGACCGGAACATTCGAGCGCACGATTGGAAAGATTTTTGCAAATGAGTTCGGACGATCCGGATTATTTCCCACCGGAAAGCGACGAATTTGCCATCAGACAATTGCACGACATCAATTGGATCGTGAGTGATACAACGGAAAACAAATTTTTTTCTCGTAAAATAAATAACAGCAAATTTTTTTTTTTAAAGCAAAAAACGTAACTTACAGGTAGCAAATTGCACGACGCCGGCCAATTACTTTCACATACTACGAAGACAAATCGCATTACCATTTAGAAAACCTCTTATTCTCATGACGCCAAAATCTCTTTTGAGGCACCCCGAAGCCAAAAGTCCATTTTCGGACATGATGGAAGGTGAGGTCACGACGGTGATGATGATGATGATGGACGTCGTCACGCAAAGTCCCTCCCGCCCTTCTCTCAGACTCGAAGCAATTTCATTTTTTTTGTATTTATTTTAAGGTACCGAATTCAAGAGAATGATACCGGAAGATGGGCCCGCGTCGGAAAATCCCGGAGCCGTGAAAAAATTAATTTTCTGCTCCGGAAAAGTTTACTACGATTTGATAAAGCAAAGACGGGAAAAGAAATTGGAAAGCGACATCGCCATAACCAGATTAGAACAGGTGAGAAAAGGAAAAAAAAATTTTCCTTTTCTTGTTCTTCTTCTTAATCATTATTATTATTATTATTAAATTGTCGATCTGTCTTGCAGTTGTCACCTTTCCCGTTCGATTTGGTCAAACAAGAATGTTCGAAATATTCCAACGCGAACCTTGTTTGGACTCAGGAGGAACATAAAAATCACGGTCCTTGGTTTTACATTCAACCTCGCATACAAACGGCCATTAACGGATCGAGACCACTCGGGTAAGTTAAACATACGTTATTTCGTTTCCGTTAAAAAATTAATTTTTTTGTGTTTTTTTAATGTATTAACGAATTAAAAGTTATTATTATTATTGTTTCGTCATCAACGACGGTGACGTAATGATGACGTTGGCTGATAGTAGTAGTAGTAGTGGTAGTAGTAATGATTGAAAACAAGGGACGAGGTTGTTGTTGGGGAGTATGAGGAAGAGTTGAGGGTGGTGGGGGGTTTCTTTCTTTCTTCTCTCTCTGTCTCTTTCTCGGAAAAATAAGGGAAATTAGAGGTGATCCTTTTCCGAAAAAAAGAAAACCTTTTTTTTTTTTTTTGGTTGATGTTTGACTCGCTGTTGTTTATTTTCATGATGTTGTCACACACACAGTGAGGAAGGATCGACAAAATCGAATCGTGGGGGTGGTGGTGGTGGCGGTGGTCTTTTGAGTCGGTTTTTTGCTTCATCAAAGACACCCGAAAAACCGAAAGAGAAAAAAACGGAGCCTGAATCTTCTTCTCAAAGGACGATTAGGTATGGATTATGATAGTAGTAGTCGTGTGTAGTCGTCGTCGTGTAATAGTCGTCGTCGTCGTCGTCGTTGTCATTATTATTATTATTACTATTCAGGCTTCATAACGTTTTTCTATTTTTTTTGTAAAAGGGAAAAAAAAGGGGTTCACCTCTAATACCTTTGGAATTTTTTTCATTATTAAAATCATAGTTTGCTTGTGTTTGTGCTTGTACTTGTCTTAATTTTTTCTGTTTGTTTTTGTTTGTACGCGTTTAACGTTTTGCATTTGAATGCTGTTTCATATAACTCTCTCTCCCACTCTTTCTCTCTCCCCCTCACACACACACACACTCTCTCACTCCCTCTCCCTCTCACACACACACACACACACACTCTCACTCCCTCTCTCACACACACACACACACTCTCTCTCACTCCCTCACACACACACACACACACACTCTCTCTCACTCCCTCACACACACACACACACACACACTCTCTGTCTCTCCCTCACACACACACACACACTCTCTGTCTCTCCCTCTCACACACACACACTCTCTCTCTCTGTCTCTCCCTCACACACACACACAAACACTCTCTCTCTCACTCCCCCTCACACACACACACACACTCTCTCTCCCCCTCACACTACCCACACTCTCTCACTCCCTCCCTCTCACACACACACTCTCTCTCTCTCTCCCTCCCTCTCACACACACACACACACACTCTCTCTCTCTCACTCCCCCTCAGACACACACACACACTCTCACTCCCTCCCTCTCACACACACACTCTCTCTCCCTCTCCCTCACACACACACGCGCGCGCGCGCACACACTCTCTCTCCCTCTCCCTTACACACACACACACGCGCGCGCGCGCACACACTCTCTCTCCCTCTAAGGGGTAGATATTCGGGCAGCATTTTCAAACGCGTCGGTAATCTTTGATAGTTTTTCTCACTTGATTAAATTTTTTTTTGATTTCAGTTACTCTGGAAGACCGTCGGCGGCTTCTCCAGCGACCGGATCCAAACCTCAACATTTAAAAGAATTGGCAGCTTTCTTGGAAGATTCCATTTCCGTTTAAAAGTGCTTGTAGATGATGGAGGAGGAGAAACGGAAGAGGAGGAGGAGGAGGAACGGAAGAAGAGGAGGAGGAGGAGCTACAGCAGCAGTTGGAGCAGAAGCAGAAGCAATCAAACCGACAAAACCAGTATATATTATTACATATAATTATTTATATTATTAATTAGTACGTAAGATGAAAAAGAAAAATTTATTGCACAGAAATTCAAATTTCAAAAAAAACAAACAAAACATTTTTTGTTGAATGTAGTATTCCAGTACGAATTTTGCACTTTGTCTGTCATTTTATTATTATTATTTGTTTGTTTGTTTGTTTTCATCATTTTTTTTTTTTTTTTGATTTCGAAATCCCGTACGATGATGATGCGTATTTATATTAACAGACAACAGTATTTATAGCATCACGTCTTACGTCGATTTACAACAATCATCATTATCATTATCATTATTATTATTATTTATACGCGTGTTATCGACTCGTCATATCATCATCATCATCTTCATCATCGTTGTTAGTTAATTAATGTTTTATTATTATTATCGTCGTCGTCGCGAGAAAGAATTGAAACTAAAAAAGAGGAGGCGACGGCGACGATGATGAAGATGATGATGATGATGATGATAATGATAATATTAGTAGAATATATATATATATATATTGTTTTCTTATTTAATTTAAATTCAGTATTTATTTTATTTACAATAAAAAAAAAAAAAAAAAAGCCGTTTACACACCAAAATAATTGTAAATTTTTTATCAAAACGTTTTATGATGTGTAAATAAATAAAAAATAATTGGGAAGATGTGGAAGCGGGGGGGGAAAGAGCGTTTGTGAAAATTAGACGGCATAGAATAAATAAACACACACACAGAGTTTAAAATTTAACGTTTTTTTTTTTTTTTTTTTTGTTATTTGTTTGTAATTTGATTTTCCGTATGTAAAATTCTCACTGTGCACTTAAATATTGTGAAAAGATGCAAAAATAAAAAAAACCGTTGATTTAAAATGATTATTATTTATTTATTAATTAATTAATCCTTTCCATTAATCCTTAGATAAATAAATTAGATAAATCCATAGATAAATCCATAGATAAATCCTTAGATAAATAAATTAGATAAATCTATAGATAAATCCTTAGATAAATAAAATTATGATAGTTTAAGGGAGATAGGGGGGAGGGGAAAAATTAAAACGTGAAAATTAGTTAGAGTGACGTCACGTATATTGAATAAAATGAAGAAAAAGTGAAAATTTTATAAAATAAACAAAAAATCAAAACAAAAACAAAAAAATGTAAACAAAAACAAAAAAATGTAAACAAAAACAAAAAAAATGTAAACAAAAACAATAACAAAAAATTTTTCGATTGAAAAAAAAATTTTGAAAAATGAAAATTTTTTTGAAAAACGAAAAAATGTAAACAAAAACAAAAAAATGTAAACAAAAACAAAAACAAAAACAAAAAATGTAAACAAAAACAAAAACAAAAATTTTTTCGCGGGAAAAAAAAAAAAATTTATTATTTTAATATATTTAGTATATTTAATATATCTCTCTCTCTCTTTTTTTCTCTCTCTCCTCTCTCTTTCTCTCTCTCTCTCACGTTTTAATATATATAAATATATATATATATTATATATATTTATATTATATAAATATATATTATAATATAAGGAGGTTTTACGGTACGGATAAATAAATAGGCGTAAAAATAGTATTTATATATATATATATATATTATATATTATATAATATCAATCAGTCGATACAATAATAATAATAATAATAATACATTTTTACAAAAAAAAAAAAAAAAATAGTTTACATTTAAAAAATATCAAAATATACAATAAAAATATCAATTAATATTATTAACAATAAATTGCTTGTTTTTTTTCCATATATTATATTATTTTTCTTTTTACACATATATAAATATTTATTTTACACAATCTAAATATATATATATTTATTTATTTATTTATTAAAAAATAATAATAATAGCTCTTTTCTTTTATTTATCTTTAAAAATATAACGTGCGAAAAACAAAAAAAAAAAAAAATTCCGCCGGAGAATAACGATAATAATAATAATATAAATCAATTTTTCTTTTATTTATTATTATTATTATCGTTATTAACAATTTAACGGCGCGTTAATAATAATTCGTTTTTTTCCTTCATATTATTATTACTATTATTATTATTATTATTAATACAAAAATACATGTTTTTCATATAAATACATTTTAAAATTATTATTTTTTTTTCAAAATGGATGGCAAGATTTTTTTTTATTTATTTATTTAAAAGTCTTTTTAAAATTTTTTATTATTTAAAAATAAAAAATAAATAACCTTTGACCTTTCATTTACGATAGAAAAAAATAAAATGATAAAAAAAAACTATATTTCTACTCATTCTACAATTCGGATTTGACAACCGTTTTAAACCGTCGCGTTTTGCTTCTCCCTCCCCCCTTCCCGCCCACAAAACGCGTTAAACGGAGAAAAAAAATTTGTCTTGTATGTTAAATAATAATAATAGTAATAATAATAATAATAATAATAATTTGGCACTGAATTTATTAATTTGGCTCATTGGTGTGCAAAATGTTTCGACGTTGATAAAAAGGGAAAAATTTTAAAGCGATAAAAAAAAAGTTTTCCTGACTTTGGCACGCGGGATCGACAACAATAAGTATTATTATTATTATTATTGTTGTTGTTGTTTTTCTTCGACGCTTTTCACTCGAGAAGAAGGAAAATCTTCAAATCATTCTTAACCTTTCGTTTTTCCACTTCCGTTTCCTTTGTTCACGCCGTACGTCGAACCTTGACTTATTTTCGTTTCTCCCAGAATTTTGTCGAAAAAAACGAGAACTGAAAAAAATGAAAAAAAAAATTGTAAATTAATAATAATAATAATAATAATAATAACGATGGTTTCCCTCTTCCCTCCCCTCCCTTCCCCTCCTCCCCCAATTCGTGAGACTCTCCTCCGGAAGTGAAAACTTACAAGATGCTAATATGGCGCAGGCTGTGCAAAAATACACGAGGCTTCCGGATATGAGAAGTTTTATCAACAAGTATCCCAATGGTACCAATATGGCGATACACCAAAATGCAAAATTGATGGCTGGAAATATTCTACGAGGAAGGTAAAAACCCTGACATTCTTCAATGTTTGATAATTCGAACCAACTTCCGGTGCTCAGGTAACTGTGAAAAGCTTCGTCCTGACGACAATCGAAATAATTATTATTGATAAAAGGAAAAACTTTTTCCTTTTCCTCACTCTTCCTCCCCCCTCCCTTAAAAGGTTTTTTTTTTTACCTTTTTCTTGTAGAGATTGTGCAACCATGTAATTTGTTCTTCCTCCGTTTCGGGTACTTCAGACATTGGAATCCTTTCGGCGTAAAGTCCTGTCGTTAATGGTTTCCTTAGTAAAAGATTTCTCAGCGAAGGTTCTACATCGCTCCTGGAAAATTCAATAGTTTTCCTCATTTTATTGTTTTTCAATTTCATTGTAAAAATAAGAGGAGGAATACTCACGGTTTCACTCCGATGTGTATGTTGTATATGGCTGGAATACTTTTTCTTATGTGAGGTAATGACATTGTGAAACCTTTCGTTCTCGGCGTCAAATGATGTCGGAGCTCGGGAAGACCATTTTTTTTGGCAAATTCTTTACTCGCTTCGTGTTTTTCTTTCGTGAACCTTTTAGAAAAACCCCCCCCCCAAACCAAAAAATTTTCAAACATAATTCAACAAAATGAACAAGGATTTGTCACGTGACATTTACCTAGTTCCTTCGGCCGTTAACAAAAGCCAAAAAACATCCTCGTACGTCATGAGTTCTTTGAGCGCACTTCCGAAAACGCTTTTATCTTTGTCCCAAACCCTTTCCAAAAATATACTTCCTCCAACTTTCCATGCAAAACCGAGTGTCGGAATATATTGAATTGATTTTTTCGCAAACGTTTTGCAATTCTAAAAAGAAAAAAAAAAAAAAAACGGTAAAATTAACGCGCGACGTTTATCCCTCATCCTCGTCGTTCCCCCTACCCCCTAGCGGAAAAATTTGGAAACAAAAACTCACTCCAAGCATGCGACAATTTTCGCACAAAACCCAACCGATCGACCAGTCAATTTCGTACGTGTGATTCATTATCAAAAGTACATTTTCTTTTCCAAAATATTTATCGTAATCTGATTTTTTCACGTGAACCATAACTTTTATTCCCGCCCAGTATTGAAGTAGAAAAACAATTTCTGTAACCAATAAAAAAAATATTCCTCATTTATATTCAATTCGTACCAATAATAATAATAATAATAATAATAATAATAATGACAATGTTTTTTTTTTAATGACCTTCAACCAAAAACTCTTTCAACGACATTGAAAAATGGCGTGTAAAAATTCTTTAAGAAATAATTTTCAAAGACTAATAATAAACATATATATATATATATATATATATATATATATTTACAAATAATTTTATTTTTTACTCACGTGAAAATAACGAATAATTTAAATAGTAATTGATTTTTCTGAACAAACGTTTGTCGAAACGATTTATTGTAACGTATAGGAAAAATTGTACGATGTTAATCAATATTCCAGAAGTTAAAAAAACAATTCCAAATGCGAGGTAAACGATTTTTGTCCAGTGAAAAACGTCTTTCAAATCCATAATTGATAATAATGAAACTGAAAACAAAAACATACGCGTTAAATGAAACTCGGGGGGGAGGGGGGAGGGGACAAAAAATCTCAGGTATTTAGGATAGCCCTATGGGTAGCCCAATGGGTATGTGCATGCCATGTTGAAAACTTGTAATGTCATTGTAATAAAGTTTATACATTCACTATTACACTACCTAAATAAATAAAATATATATATTATTTGCACTTTTTTTTTTTTTTTTTTTGCTAATACACGCGATAAGTTTTGCGAATTTTGAGCAAAAAAAAAAAAAAATTATTGCAATTTCTATTATGTAACTTTTGATTTTTTTGATTGAACGGTAATTATGGAGAATGCAAAAACAGGTTTCTTGTACGATCTGGAATTCTACGTCGACAACTTTTTTTTTTTTTTTTTAGTTCAACATTCATAAATGAAAGTTACTTGTTTATATTAAAATAAATAATAATAATAATAATAATGATGAAAATTAATTATCAAGTTTTTAATTTAATTGACAAAAATTTTCTAATATTTCATTATTAACAATTATTTAACACTTTTTTCTTTATTTCCTACTACTACTCCTCCTCCTCCTCCTACTACTACTACTACTACTACCAATAATAATGATAATAAGGACTGGAGGGGGGATAAATAAAGATGTAAAATTTTATTCGTTTTGATTTGACCTCAATATCTTTACTAATGCAACATTTTTTAAAAAATTTAATTCGTTTAAAAATTAATTGTTATAATACAATATCGATTAAATTACTTAACATGGTGCTTAAAGTCAGTCACATTTCTCACCGATTTTAAAAAAATTTGTCGTTAATAATTTTTATGAGATTTTAATCAGGTCATAAATTTTTTTTTTTTATCATTATGGCTATGAGATAAAATACTCCTTGTTACCTAATGAACAAGAGATAAATTTGTGACCACTTAAGTAGTATTACAAGACGTAAAAAAATTATCAATATTTACTTATGACTTAGCTTCTTCTTTCCCCCTCTCCTTCCTTCCCCCTCAGAACAAAGTTTACGAAAAGAAATGTTTCGAATAAAAAAAAACTTAAAATTAAATATGTCTGTCATATCGAAATCATTATTCGAAACAACAATCGATAATTATAAAACAATTGAAAAATTTGTAACAATCGTTGATTTCGAATGATTCATAACATCATACAAAAAATTATGATTCTTATTGTCACAAAAACTTATTCGAAATGTAACATCATGTTTCCCTTGTTAAAATTATAAATAATTAATAAAACAAAAACAAATTATTTGTTCTGTATTCGATAAATTTAAATCTTTCAAATAAGTAAAAGAAAAAGTTTTACCAGAAACACAAAATTACATAAAAATGATTTGTATTATTATTTAACGAAAAAAACTTTTGCAATCACCGTTTTTATCTTTTTCTGTTAAAAATTTATTCCAACACTGAATCAAATTTTATTTTACCCTATATTTTTCTCTTTGATTTAGATATCATTATTATTATTATTGTTGTTGTTGTGTTTGAAGGTAAACAACTTTTTAAATATTAAAGTATTAATAAGAAAATAAAAAATGAATAGAAAATGATCACCGATTATAAAAATATTACAAATTTTTTTTTTTTTTCTATTCCAGTGATTTGCACAATAGAAAAATATATATTAACCTTAAAATAATAATAATGATAATAAAATTAATCACATTTTTCAATTAAAAAACTGTAGTTTGATTTTATTAAATTTTCACACCGTTAAAAAAAAAAATTTAATTCTGTAACCTTTTCTTTAACTTATCAACATGACAAAGATAAACATAATCATATTTATTGATAAGTTAAATTAAATAAACCAAAAGGAATTCGATCCTAGAAAATTTAAATTTTTGATAACGTTTTGGAATTTTTTTTTTTATAATTGATAAAATGAATATTAATAATATTTACCTCTTTGTAAATGTCATTAAATAATACCTCGTGTAACAAAATAAAAATAAGTAAAAGATGAAAATAAAAATAAAAAAAAAATTTGTTATTTGTTAACTAATAATAATATTCTATTACATTATGACGAGAGTTCAATGAAATTCACATTTCACCATCGTTGTATGTAATTAATTTCGTAAAAGGGAAAAATATTAAAAACCGTTAACTAAGAACAGAATAAGTTAAATTCAAATCATTTTGTTATAAAATTAAACACGAGAAGGATTATAAAAAGATAAACGATGTTTAAATAAAGATTATACGTCAACCGTCATTTTACAATTTAAAAAAAAAAAAAAAAATTTATTTAATTCGATAGCAGAAGACGGGGAGGACAACTTCCTTTGAATTTATCATTTTACGGTACTAAGTTCACACATCAAACGACTCAATCGTCTTGTTGCTCATTAATCAAAATTTGAATTTATCCAATATTATTCTTATTGAGTAACGGAACGTAACGTAAAAAAAACCGTTTTTTTTTTTTTTATCGAAATTATCTTAATTAAACGCGTGTAAGTTTAATTATTTACCTATTTTAATACAATCTATAGTTTTATATCGATTTTTATTAATATTTTCAACAGAAAAAGGATTAAAATAACACAACACAAAATATGTATTTACTTTTGCTATATATGTACATCCAAATAAAAAATTTTTTTGTTTTTTAAATTTTACTTTGTTAAACTAAACGATTACTTATACAACTGATACGATTTGTAAAGAACAAGGAAACTTGTTAAAAATTAATTTATGAAATTTTTTATAATGAGGAAAAAAACCAAAAAAAAAAAAAAATCATGACAAGGATTGATTGTTCATTGTATATAACAACGTCACCATAAAGTTTAATACTACCATCAACAATAACAAAAAATTAATAAAATTTAAATATCATGAAATAAAACCAAAAAGTGTTTAATAAATTTTTATTCATGTCATGTTTATTGTTTGTAGGGTAACAAACGTTCTCCTTTTCATATACATTTAGAAAGTTGGGAACAAACTAACAACAAAGTGCCAACCAACGACTACCATATTCCCCTCCACTCTTAGAAATAAATAAAAAAAAAAAGAAACAAGGATTAAAGTGATTTCAACCTGAACAGTACAGCAATTCGTGCCTGACAATTATGAAATTTAAATTTTTCTCTCTTTGATCAGATAATGTAAAAACATTGAACAACGTTGTTGTTGTTGTTGTTGTTGTTGTTGTTGTTGTCGTTTGTAATCATTAAAATTTAATTTTTTATTTATTAAATATTCGTCGTTAAAGTAAGTCGAAACTTTATTTAAATTGTTGTTGTTGTTGTTGTTGTAGTGATTTTTAAATCGAAAGTGTTTGTTTGTTTGTTTGTTTGTTTGTTATAATCGCGACATAATAATGTACGTTAAGGAATAATTCTTCGAATAAAATAATTTTTTTTTATTTATCAAAAGGAAAAAAATTTAAAAGGTGAGTAAGTTAATTTTTTTTTTTTTTTTTTTTGGTTGTTGTTGTTGTTTAGAATTTAATTTTGTAATAATTTTTTTTTTGTCGAATTTGTTAATAATCAATTGCAAAACAAAATTTTTTTTTTTTAAATAACTTTTCCTTTCTATTATAAAAAAAAAAATATTCGTAGTAACAACAACGAACGTCCTTGTTGGCGTTTGAATTGTTGTTTCAATAAAAAAAATCAAATCATCCACTTTATGATAATGGTCACCATCAAACAAGTGTGTGCGTGTGTGCGTGTGCGTGTGCGTGTGTACGTGCGTGTGCGTAAACGCAAAACGAATTTAATTATCATTTTTTTTTTTTTTTAAATAAAATAAATGCCGTTTTGAAAACATCGTTTATGTTATTCGTCTTAACAGAATTTTTCAAACGATATCATCCATTTTTAAATCGTTTTAATTTATTTACAACCCCCTCCCTCCCTCCCTCCCCCCACGTAATAATAATAATAATAATAATAATAATAATAATAATAATAATAATAATAATAATAATAATAATGAATAATAAATAATAATAATCGATGATTGAATTTTTGAAATTTTTATACGCAATCGGATAAATAATACAAATTCGATTATTATTTTTATTATTATTATTATTAATATTACATTTAATAAAATAAAAGATCTCGTTTGTTGTTTGTTGTTTGTTGTTAAACGACCATAATTTCCATAACCTACCTTTAAATAATTTTTTTTTTATTAAATTTTATTTATTTATTAAAAAACAGGTTTTTTTTTTTACTTTTTACGTATTTAAAAAACTTTGCGTGTTGTGTACCTTAAAAACTTGTTTTTTTCTCTCTCTCTCTCTTTTTAAAAAATAAATAAAATTTAAATGTTTGAATCACGCGAAAATGAAAGAGAGAGAGATTTTTAATAATAATAATAATAATAATTTTCTTCTTTTCTTTTTAGACTTTTTTATTATAAAAAAAAGGGAAAAATTTCAAAAGGCAAAATGACAAGTAGTAAATATGAATTACCGCAAGTTACGCACGATAATAAGAAAAATGTTGGAAGTGAAGAAACCGATCAAAAGGGAAAAATCAGGTATTTAATATTAATAATAATAATAATAATAATAATAATAATAATAATAATGATAATGATAATGATAATAATAACGGTAGTAATTATTTTTTGCAAACGGGAGCGAAAATTGAGAAAATTTTATATATATGGTAAAATTCGTGAGTAATTAAGACGTGAAGTTTTTTTTTTTTTGCTTATTGAGTAATAATAATAATAATAATAATGATTTAATTGCGGTGAAATTTAATTACTAGAATTATTATTATTATTATTATTATTATTATTTTTTGAATTTAAGGTGCAAACGTGTTTTTATATGCACCAAAAAAAAAAAAAAAATGCCAAAGTTTTGATATTGAAACGAACCGGAAAGGTTTGGTGTCATTAAGTGAAATATTCAAAAATTATTTTATTATTATTATTATTATTATTAATTAATTAATTAATTAATTAAAAAGCGAAGGAAAACCACCGTAATTTTTTTTTTTCGATTACGTAAAACAAAATAAATTTATTTATTTATTACCTGTAAAAAAAAAAAACTATCACGAATTCGTTTTTATTAATTATTAATTCAATACTTCATGACGTATTCATTTACATAATTTATTAACCGATGATAATGATGATGATGATGATAATAACGCGGCGTAAATTGTTTAAAAAATTTTCTATTCTTTTTTTTTCTATTTACCTCGTAAGGGAGAAGGAAAAGAAAAATGTTATAAATTGAAATTATTTTAATTATTAAATTATTATTATTCGTTTTGAGAGAGAAATAGAGAGAGAGAGAGAGTGTGTGTGTGTGTGAGAGAGAGAGAGTGAGATGAAAAGAGAGAGAGAAAGAGAGAGAGAGAGAGAGAGATGTGGATAGTATTAGAAAAACATGAAAATTTTACCGTTTGAATGTTAAACCCTAACGTTTTTTATTATTATTATTATTTATTCCGTGAAAACAATGAATAGAAATAATAATAATAATAATAATAATAATAGTGATAATAACGAAATAATGATAATGATAGCAATGATAATAATGATAATAATAATAATAATTCCCATCGAATAAGATGGCCTCAGTGAGACTTAAAAGAATTGTTGTGACGTCATAAGTCATAACAATGCGAAAACTATTCAGGCAAACAACATCACTGATATTCCCTAGGGATGGGCGGGTAGAAACCTGGAATGAATGTTAAAAAAGCTCCTCCGACATAAACACATTAAGACGAACTGTCTCGATTACGAGCGATAATGATAATAATAATAATAATAATAATAATAATAATATATAAAACGAAAGAATTCGTTTACGTTTACGTTATAATTATTGAAAGTTTTTTTTTTTTTTTTAATTTTTTTTTGCTCTCGTTCAGTGCATAAAATTTCTCTCGATTCTTTCTATCGATTAATCGATTAATCGATTACTAAATCCATTTATTTAAAAAGTCGAAATTTACATTTAAAAAAAAGAAAAAGTATTTAAGGAAAAAAAGAAAGTATAAAACCACGATGATCAGACCTTAAAATAATAATAATAATAATAATTTTTTACTTCCTGTGGGTGAAAATAACTATTATTATTATTATTATTTAAAAGGTCGCGTACATCTTTTTATAAAGTTTTAAAGGATATAATAGTAAGTGTTAATGACACGAATAAAAAAAAAATATTATTATTCGAGGGTCGAATTCGTACGAAATTATACTAAAAACAAAATTTTTTTTTTTCTTCTTCGCATTATGTGTGATCCGCATTATTATCATTATTATCTCCATCATCATCATCATCATCATCATCATTATTATTATTATTTTCAATACTTTCGATTGCCCTTTACATTTTCAAAGTGAAAATAAACGGCCTTGTTATAATAATAATAATAATAATAATAATAATAATAATAATAATAATAATAATAATAATAATAATAATAATAATAATAATAATAATAATAATAATAATAAAATTTTAAAGGGTCTTAACGTGGTTTCATTGTTTTTGACTATTAAGAGATTTTATACATAAGCTCAGTTAAGTATCTAATTAAATTAAGACTTTAATTAAACACAATGGAATTATAATGAATCCGTTGTTTGCGTACGATTACGCGCGTTTTCACGGTCGCGATTCGCGAATTTAAAATTTTTAACGGAAGTTCTCGAACGCCTCGTTCGCGGTTTCAGCCGTTAATTTTTTTCGCGTTTAAAACTTTCGGTTATGTCAAATTTCCATATAAATTGCGATAATGATGATAATAAGGGGGAAAATAACATTTAAATGAGATTCTTATGTACATAAACGTGTAATTTTCCACGAGTAGATTATCAACATCCGGGAAGTTGGTAGTAGTCGTGGCAATAGAAATTAAATATTCACCTGTTGGCGTATAGAAAACAAGGATAGGTAATCGTTTACTTAATAAATACGATTTAAATAAATTTTGTCAAATCAAAGGACGAAAAAATTATCATTGATAATGATAAAATTTGTTCATTGTAAAAAACATGCACGCGATCGCGCCCGCGTAATTTCAATCACGTGACAAACACGACGACAAAAATGTTTCGTGTCGTGTGATGACGTCATTTAAAAAATTTTTTCACTGGAAAAATAATTTTAGGTTTCCATTTTAAAACGAAATCTTTTTGGTGGAAATAATTGTAGGGTACCTCACGAAAACCCTTCGGAACAATTTGGGGAGTGGATGGGGAGGTTGGGGGTGGGAACGCGGCGTTAATAATAAATAAGAAAAAATTTTCACGTCGTTTTATCATTTGACGATAAGGTATAATTAACAAACGTTTTAAATTATTTCCGAAACAAAACAAGAAGGTCAACAATCAACATTTTATCACTTAAATTATAGAAAACGACGACAAACAAAAAATGCGTTTCGGACTGTACAAACAAACAAACAAACAAACGAAAATTATCGACGGAAAATTTATTTTGTTAAAATTTTACCTACCCACACTACACGGACGTTGATTAGTAACGAAATTTGTTTATCATTGATAAGGTACTCGATATCAAGGTCAATAATTCAAGGCGTGGTACTTAATTTTTACAAAAAAATTTCCTCCCCCTCCCATCCCCTCCCCTCCCCACCTCATTCGTTCGACAAACGACGACAAAATCCCAACAAACAAAAAATGTATATTACCCTCTACCAATCATATTTAATTGGATAATTTCCTTATTATTATTATTATTAACGGGTGTTAATACCGGTTTTATTATGTGGTAGTATTTAATTATCGAGTACCTTACGGTACCTGAGATTTATTCCCATAGAACGAACAACGCCTAATAATTAAAATCACGTTTTCGGGGCTTTCATTTACCGCCATTTTTTTTTCCCTCGGCAACTTTATTTAAAAATGTTTGTGATGATAATGATGGTAATAATGATGATGATCGTCAATTAAAATCCTTCGTCGTTATCACTCATAGTGTTATCAGTTATCACGCGAGGTTTTTAATAAGGTACGAAAAGCTATAATTAAACATTCTCAATTCGGCGTTTAAACCTTCATAAGAATTTTTCACTCATTAATAAAAACCGCGTTAGGTCGAATTATTGCCAAAGTTTTACGTGTTGTCGTTTTTTTTTCGTGTCAGAAGAATCAAACAAAGACCTTGGAAAATTTTCTATGGCAAAAATAAAAATAAAAAATTTTTTTTCGCGAGAATTAAATTTCAATTCGTATCACAAATCGTTTTATTCCCACCCTTCCCCCTTCCCTCTCTCCTAATAATCGTAATTAATTTAAATTTTAAAATGTCGCTCTAAAAAAAACCTTGAAATCAGGTTCAAACCTTGAACTTAAAATTTTCACATAACTATAACTTAATAATAATAGTAACAATAAATTATTAGAAAAATTTTCCCGCGAGTTTGAGACTCCCCCTTCTCTCCCTCCTACCCCGATAATTTATTATTATTATCATCATCATTATTATTAAACTTTAGGGCGAATTCAAAAGTGGCATTAGATTCTTTACGCGGGAGGAATAAGGAATCTAGCGCCACGTCCGAAAATGAAAATTCTAATTTTTCTTATCTATTTACCTTTCGGCGTCCGTCACGAGGTTATACCGCACGTAAAACGCACGTGACGCACGTGTTGGGTTCCTCATTTTAATTATAATGACGTAGACAACGATGACGTAAACTTTCGTCAGTCCGAAATTATTTAAACGCCTTTTTCGCGAAGAAAGAAGGTACCCTTCCCCTTCGTACCTAAAAAATCGTAAAGGCCTTGCCTTTTAAACGTGAATAAATCGAACCGCTATTATTATTATTATTATGATTATTATTATTATTATTATATCAGTAATAAACAAAATAAAAAATGCGAAGGCCGTTTTTTATTAAACAACAAAACTATATAGAAAAAATTTTATAATTTTTTTGATTGATTAAATTCAATATGGCGATTCGGAATATGAAATTCGTTACCTTTGATTGTTTCAGCGAGTCGTCTGATGACGGTTTGGGACCTCAATGGAAAATATGGAGGAGAAGAAGGTACGTCGTAGCATATCTGGCACTTTTGGGTTTCATGAACGTTTATTCCCTGAGGGTAAATCTTAGCATAGCCATTGTTGCCATGACGAATAACTATAACGTTACGTTGGAAAATGGAACCGTCGTGGAGGTAAGGAAAACATTTTGTTAATCGTTTGTCGACAACAAATAATTAATTATCCCGAATTCAAGGTAAAAAAACAACGTTTTATCATCATCATCATCATCATTATCATCATTATTTTTTTCCTATCGTACAAACGCATTCATCATAATCATGATCTCGTACAACCTACAACTCGTTATCGTCACCTGATTGAAATTTAATGATAAGAAAATAAAAATTTTAATATTTGCTAACAAATACCCGCCCCCTCCCCCGCCCCCGTCCCCCGCTTTTGCCCCGAACACACAATTATTATTATATTAATAGACGTGTCATTAACGAATTCATTTTTTCAATTTGTCGACAACAAACATGCAACGTTCAAATAAAATAAAATCAAATCAAAATTTTATTTGTTCGTTGATTAAATTTTTTATTTAATAAACAAATTGACGTGTCATAAACTCACGAGTGTTTAATTACTCTATGACGTAATTACCACCACGACGACGAAGACGACGACGTTGTAAAATTTTAACTGTCAAAGACGTTACGGATTACGGAAAAAATGATAGATGGATTGATGAATGTTTCCCAAAGAGTCGTGTCACCAGATAACAATAAAAAATTATTATTGCTAAATGTAAATTATTATTATTATTATTATTATTTTCAGATGGAAAAAGATTTCGATTGGGATACGAAACAAATCGGATTAGCATTGAGTGCATTTTTTTACGGTTATATATTAACACAAGTTCCCGGAGGATGGCTCGCGGCAAAAGTCGGAGGTGCTAAATTATTCGTTTCCGGTATAGCAGCAACAGCGTTGCTCACTGTCGTCACACCGCCATTGACAAAAATTAATTTTTACGTTTTATTGGCAATAAGAATAATCGAAGGTTTTTTCGAGGTTTGTTTATTAATATCCGGGTTTTATAACCGTCGCGGACGTTGTAATCTGTCGCCAAATTGTAAAAAAAAAAAAAAAAATGAACGTTTTCAGGGCGTCACGTTTCCCTGCATCCACGCCGTTTGGTCAAAATGGGCACCGCCTTTGGAAAGAAGTAAATTGGCAACGATTGCATTTTCCGGAAGTTTCATCGGTACCGTCATATCAATGCCTTTATCCGGTTTGATTGCCAACGTTTGGGGATGGGAAGCCATTTTTTACATATTCGGTGAGTTGTGCGTTTATTCACGAAAAAAAATTTGAACACGATTTTATCGAATTCCCCCTAACGACAGGTGCTGTCGGACTCGCCTGGTGTGCACTTTGGTTGGCATTCGTGAAAGAAGCCCCTCGATACGATCCTTACATAACGAAAGAAGAATTAAATTATATCGAAAGCAGCATCGGTTCATCACCGGATGCGGTAAATATTAAAATATTATCAATCGGTTCGATTTGAATGACGTAACATCCGCCATTTTGTTTTTACAGAGAGTCAAACATCCCTGGGGACAAATATTAAAATCCCCACCGGTTTGGGCTATTGTAACGGCTCATTTTAGCGAAAATTGGGGATTTTATACACTGTTGACACAACTTCCGTCTTTCATGAATGGTAAATATTTACCCGCGCACGGAACCGGAACCGGAAATACGTCAAAACCGGAAATACTTTTTTGAAAAAAAATTTTTTTTTTTTCTAGATACCTTAAATTATAAAGTTGAAAAAGCTGGATTTATGTCAGCCGTACCTTATTTAGTTATGGCGACAGTTTTACAATTTTCCGGTCACATTGCTGATTATTTAAGATCCCGTAAAATTTTATCAACGACAAACGTAAGTTTTGTTTGTTTTGTACACTTCCGGCGACGGGATTTTCTTTTAAAAATTTTCTTTTTCTTTCTTCCTCTTTTTAAGGTACGAAAATTATTTAATTGCACAGCATTTTTATCACAAACTGTTTTTATGATTTTGGCTGCATCCCTTACGACTCCAGCAGGTATAATTGCTTGTTTAAGCGTTGCTGTCGGTTTGGGAGGTTTTGCCTGGTGCGGTTTCGGGTAAGTTGAAACACAAAAAAAAAAAATTCTGTTGGATTTTCCACGCGAAACTACAGAAAGACTCCATTGATGTTTCAGAGTGAATCATTTGGACATAGCACCGCAGCATGCTGGAGTCCTCATGGGTTTTTCAAATACTTTTGGAACATTGCCTGGAATGTTATCACCGATAATAACCGGATACATCGTTCACGATAAAGTGAGTTCGTTATAGAAATTTGATTCGTCTCGTGATTTTCCGATTCGCCTGGAAAAAAAATTTTTTTTTTTTTCTCGTTTTCCAGAGTGCGGCAAACTGGAAAAAAGTTTTTTACATAACGAGCGGCGTTTATTTAGTCGGAGCTCTTGCATATGGAATATTTGCATCTGGAGAAAAACAACCTTGGGCAGAACCTAAAGAAAATGGTGTTGATGATGAGAAAACCAAAGATGAAGGATTAGATAACAGAGCATTACAATTAGACAAATCTGGAAATTAGAATCTCTTCATCCCCCTTCTCCTCTTTCTCTCTTACTCCCCCATTTTCTAATACCAAAACCTCCCCTAAATTGAAACGACGCATATCAACAACACATTCCGATAAAACCTAAAAGGAAGTGGGGAGGGGAGGGAAGTAAGAGAGGGGAGGGTAGAAGGAGGTAAAAGGAAAACTCTAGTTGAAATTTTACTTACATTTCCGGTAATTCGAATTTTAAATTGGTTGTCAAGCTGCTGGCAGCTTAATATATACACACAAACGAAACAAACAAACAAATAAAATTTAATATTATTTTTTCACTTCCATTATTTTTATAATAATAATAATAATAATAATAATAATGATAATAATTTAAACGTTTGTTTCTCTGTTTGTTTGTTTGTTTGTTTTTATTAATAATTTTTTTCCTTTCATAAAAATTTTATTAGTAATTTATTTTTAAAAAAAAAATGCCGAAAATTTTTGGGTCACGTTATAAATAAAATAAAATATGTGACGTCACATTTCTATCTTTTAAACAAACAAACAAACAAACAACAATTTCGACATTATCATCATCATATCGAAAGAGAAATTTTTTACGTACGCACGTAAATACGTCAACGCATGCGTACAACTAAAAAATTATTAGGAATATTTCTTTTAATAAAAAAAAAATTAATAAATTTATTATTATTATTATTATTATTATTATTTAATTAAAAAATAAATAATGGAATCAATTATTATTATTATTTTTGATTTATCGATGACGATTCGTGACTAGATATATAAAATATGGACCGAATTAAACAATTCTCATCGATTCATCGATCGATTTGCTTTCGATTTCCCTTGCACTATCGATATATACATTCGATATATCGATTATCGATTTGTTTTGTTTGTTTCGCTTTACTGCCGTTGCATAATAGTTTTCCTATCGTTTCCCCTCAAACCGTAATACCTTTTATAATCTTCTTCGTACAAATGCGGTACGGGAGAAGTGACGTAATCGCTTTGCACCATGACGACCGTTTGTTTTCCCGTCGTTTCCTTTTCGAATTCGATCAATTGTTTGAAAAATCCAACGTTCGGACGTATTATTTCCCTTAAATTTTTAACGGTCGAGTACGAATCCCGTAGGGTGTATCCTTCGTATTTGACCAAATAAGCGAGACACAAACTTGCGGATCGTGAGACTCCGGCAACGCAATGTATCAAAGTTTTACCCCCGGATAATTTCACCTGGAAACAAGTACAAACACGATCATAATAATAATAATAATAATAACTTTCCATCCGCAAATATAAAGGAAATCGATTGATCAACCTGGTGAATTATATCGGACACAATATCCAACCATGGAAATATATTGGCGTCGGTTTTATCATCGACGTTAACCCTTAAATATAAAATGTCGTCGTCGTTGTCGTCGTCATCTGGTGATGATTTGGGTAATGGAGTGTCTGGAAGTTCGGTTGTCGCATTTATGACGCACGTCACTTTGAGATCTTCCAAAACGTTAGACCGAAGTGCAAGAGCCCCGCATAAAAATAAATACGGCGTGATTTCGGTCACGTCCAAGAATGATGACGAAGATTTACCCAGTCTGTTAGAGCACATACATGAAAACAAACAAAACAAACAAAAAAAAGTTATTTTTGCCCAAAAAAAATTAAAATTCCCAATTTTTTTTTCTTTTCTGCGTTTTTTTTTTTTTTACTTAATTTACTACAAATTCTTGAATTTAAGCCAAAATGGCGAACACGCATCATCATGATCGTCGAAGCGAAAAATTTTTTCTTTTTGTTATGGAATTTTCTTTCTTTTTTATTTTTCATTAATCTCTGATTAATTTTATTTAATAATCACCCAACCCCCGCCCCGCCCCAATGATTTTCCGGTTTGAAATTTGTAAACATTTTTTTTATCCATTTCCGCTTTTCTAACTTTTTCTAACGGAAATTTTTTCCCCGTGAGTAATTAAATGGCGCCATCATTTTTAATTTTGTCTAATAATTCTCTACATTTTAGTTTTGTTTTTGTTTTCGTTTTCGTTTCCCCCTAATTTTATTTTCTCTTTCTTATAAAACTCTAAAAAAAATTATTATTTAGGTCAATAACATCGTCGCGTTGATAATAAAATATGTGAACGATTACTCGCGTGTGTGTGTGTGTGTGTGCGGGGGAAGGGGGAATGACTGACTGATTGATTGATTGACTGACTGTAATAATATGACGGAATTCCCATCGTTTCACACTTTCATTATACTAAAACAAAAAATTATTTGTATTTTAATACCGGAAACCCTCCTCGATTCGTAACGTTTTTAAAGAATTTAAATGACGTCACACGTTAAAAGAGCGAGAGAGAGAGAGAGAGAGAGAGAGAGAGAGAAAATTTTCCTTTTTCATCATTTAAAAAATTTTATTTTTATCAAGGAGATCCGGTAACACGACACACGTTGTCAATGATATTTATCATACCGGTTAATATTTAAATAAAAAATCGATATAATCGATAATAATCGATAAAAATTTCCCGTATCGATCGTACGTGACGTTTCTCTCTCTCTCTTTCTCTCTCTCGTTTACATCCCACACGATTAAACGTTTTAAGTACTGATAATAATGATGATAAAAACAGGTCACGTTGGTTCCTATTCTGTTTGTGTGTTAAATTTCATAATAATAATAATAATAATACCTTAAAATAAAAATGACATTTTTATAAAAAAAAAAAAATGAAAAATCGTTACCGTTAATAATTCAACCTTTTAGTATTATTATTATTCTTTTTGATATAATTATCCAACGCGGTAATATTCTTGTTTATTTAAAAAATTATTATTATTATTTTCATTTCATAATAGAATCTTTCATCTTCTTCTCATTATTCATATCGAATAAATAAATCTAAAGTCAAAAACATAATAATAATAATGATAAATGGTGATTAATTAAAAAAAAAGACAAACGTAATGTATGCGTTACGTATTATAATCAATTCTAGAAAGTTCTAGAAATAAACGTTCGAATTCGAAAACGTTAACGAAACGTATCATCAATAAATAAAAAAATGTCAAATCGTGACAATTAAAATGTCAGAGAAAAAAAACTCACCTTTGTGATAATTTACATGAAATTTGTCGTAAATTATTTCCTTGTTGTGTTTCATTTAATATTTCATCCGTTTTTTTCTCATTATTTTGACACAAATCATCATTTTCATTAACATTTTCATTATTTAAAATATCCTCATCTGATTTGACCAACATTGTGGAGAGAAAAAAAACTGTCGCGTTGTCGCAGAAAATCGATAAACGCGAACTTTCCCGCGAGATTATTTCCTAAAATGGCGACAAAATACACCGACGATCACGACGACATGAAAACAAACAAACGTTTTATTCGTTTTAATTATTTTCACTTTTATTTATTTTATCAACAGAAAATTGTTTATATTTTTTGTTTAATATCATTTAATCTTGTCGAAATAACACAAAATTTGTTTTGTTTGTCTCAACAAAAATAAAAAAAAAAGCTAAAAAAATGTGTTGTGCGTGTAAATTCTTTTACCTGTGTTTTCAAATTTTTTAAAGATTTTAACGGTTGTTGTTGTTGTTGTTGTGTATTATATTCACATCGTTTTAACGATTCTTGTTTATTTGCCAAATATTTTTACGGTTGTTTAAAAATTTTTTTCCCCAACTCGTATATATATATATATATGAATTTCATTCATTTATTTATTTTTGTTTACACAATGAATTTTGAAAAAAAAATATCCGTTGGCAGTTTGCTAATCAAAAAAAAAAAAAAACTTCTTCATCACGTGAATTCTATTTATCTTAAAAAAAAAACAAAAGATCAAAAGAATTTTTTTTAAGTACAAATAACAAATGTAATTAAAATTGTTTTCTTTTAACCGAAAATATAATAACACAAATGTTTTTATCCTGTTCTCTATATAGAACTAAATGTGAACAACTTTTACATTATTTTGACTTTCCCTCCCCCCCTCTCTTCCCCTCCCCCACCTCATCATCATACCCTATATATGGATATTTAACATTGTCGAATAAAATGTTATTAATTTATATAACATAAATCATATCTGTCTAGGTTGTTAACCTTATTAACTTATGGCCATAACATAACCTCACCCATTTTTCAATCAAATATTTTGTTCAGGTAGCCTGTTCAGGTAGCATGTTCATATACTTATTTTAATTTTTATCAAAATGGTGACACCCATCACATTTACAAAGATGATTTGATAAAATTCAAGTTTTTGTACAAATGAAATCTTCCATTTGAAAATGTGTTGTTGTTGTTGTTGTAAACATTCAAAACACATAAAACAAACAAAACACATAAAATTAAATGTAAATGATTAATTACTTACTTATTTATGTTTTCAATGTTCAATATTATGGAGTTAAAAGGTATATAAATATTGTTTGATGTTGTCATGTAATGAACCATAAAACACTTGTAGAAGAAACAATCAGGACATGTTGAATGTAACACCATCACATGACTGTTTGATACTATCCTGATTATGTTTTGTGACAAGATGGATGACATTTTCCTAAAACAATTAAAAAAAAATTAATAAAACAATCGAGGAAAGTATTTTTACTTAAACAAGTTATTCTTGTTCACACATACAATAAAAACTGTAATTATTTCACTACTTACACATCAGTTTGAATGACTTATTTTATACAAAATAAGCAAAAATAATCATAAAAAACATTTTAATTGTTGAGAATGATAATTTGCAACAAGTGTGCGCGTTCATATTTCATTAAATGATTACATAAGCAAAAATTTTTTCATGTATGAACATGTCAGACATTCGCGCGAGAAAAAAAACCGTTAAAAATGATGACGTATTAACGCAAAAAAGCATAAAGTTACGAGAGAGAGAGAGAGAGACGTTATATTTCTCACGTAGAAAAAAATATATATATAAATAGCAGGTGTAATAATTAATATAATTTTTTGCAATAAATACATAATTTTATTTATTTGTTTGTTGCATTTGATTCGCGTCCAATTGCATAACGTCATACCGCCATTAAATAAAGTGTTGTAAAAAAATTAATTATGTGCATTAAAAATGATTTTTGTTTGATTTAAGTCCAATTTATGTATTTAACATCTCACCTTTTGAACAAAAACTAAATATTATATATAAATATGAATAAAATTTAATCATCAACAAAGAATTTACGGATGTTGGTCCGTGACATTAATTTTACAAAAAAATTTTACACCGTGGCCAAATATTGTGATTTCATTTCATTTTTTTTTTTTTTTTTTTCAATTGAGTTTGCGCATTCGTATAACCGAATTTTTTTTTTTTTTTTTAATAAAAAAAACTATTTTCGTATTTATGTAAAATTTTTTTTTACCTTCGTTATGAGTCATCATTGAAATTTAAAATAATGATTCGTTAATAAATTTCAAACACGTTCGAATAAATAGAACGAAATGTGACAATAAATAACGATAAAAATCAATTTAAATTATTATAATTTCAATAAATAACCACATATTTTTACATTATTTTATTGATAATTTCACCTTTGATACGATAAAAAAAACGATAAATTAATTTATTTAAAAATATAATTTTTTGAAACGTTCCCGAATGTCAAATAATAACGGAAAAATGAAGGTTGAGTCGTCAACGGGGCGCCAACGGTAAAATTCGCAAAACGTTTACACTCAGAAATCATTGATTTTGTTTTCGAACCATAGAGTATGTAAACCTATGTCAATGACGTCATCCTTTCACCCTCGATATCAATTCATGAATTTCATTACGGTAACGCTTCCGTGTAAAGTAACGGAGCTTCAAAAATTGTACTCGATTTATAATCGGGTACGATGACGTAATTAATTGTGTTAGCACGACGAGCTCACTAAACGATCATTGCAACGTCGAACTCCCACAGACAAGGAAGGTCGAGGCAACGTCACAAACACGTATATATATTAAAACAAATACGAATTCAACCGCGAAATAATCCGTAAAAATTATTAATGTCGATTTAAATCCACGAATATAAACATTTAGTTCAAATCTCCATTTAAACAAATTTGTTTCGAATAATTACACCAAATAAATACCTTCAAATCACTCGATCTCAATAAATTATCGACTTTTACCAAATATTTTTATAAAACGACCGTTATAACACATACACACACCTTCATTACATTACTATTATCATCATTATTACGTTAAGGAAAAAAATTAAATAACGAAACGAGATTTTAAAAATTAAACTGTTTATTAATAAATAAATAAATAAATAGATAATTAATTAATAATTATTATTAGATATCAGTGCTTTAAAATATTAAAGTTTGTGCGAAGAAGCCACATGAAAATTAACCGAAAAAAAAAATGAATTATTCAATTAAACACTTAATATATATTATTATTATTATTATTATTTTTTATTGCAACCTTATTATTGACCATCTCTTAATTTTACTCTTTTTTTTTTGGGGGGGGGGGATTTTTATATTTAAATCGTGCTGAAATGTGCGGAAGCCGCATTCAAACAAAAATTCCAAGGAAGACCTTCTCATATAAACTTTATATTATCCATTTCCGGTTTTTTTTCCCCATTTTCCTTCCATTTTCTTTTTTTTTTTTTTATTGCACGCAAGCATTGTAACATATGTATATTTATTAAAAATACGAATAAATAAATAAAAAATATATATGTATTTATGTATATATAATTAAAGTTATTTTTTTTTTTTAACGGACGAAATACGTTACACATATATATATATAAATTTACATTCACGTTCCATTATTATTATTATTATTATTAAACAAATAAATGAGCTTTTTAAATGAGAGCTTAATAAGTTAAACGGCATCGTTAAAATAATAATAATAATAATAATAATAATAACAACAAACTAAATTTCAAAATTTTTTTTTTTTAATTATAACGACCTATTGTTTTATATATCATTTATTTTTTTTTTCCCCCTCATTCCATTCCATTGTTTAATTCATCGCTAAAAAGAAAAATGAATGAATGAATGAATGAATGAGTGAATGAATGAATGAATTAATTAATTAACGAAATAATGATAACGAATTCTTTTTCAATTGTCAATCATTCAATCGTCCGAACAAAACAAAGAAACGTAAATTTCATCTCCATCAATTTATTATTATAAGAATCTAATGATAATGATAATAGAACAAGCGCATTCACGAGTGAAAATAAATAAATGGGGGGCGGGGGGAGAGGGGGGGGGGTTACGTACACGGTGCCAAAACTTAAAGAAAACAAAGAAAAGAATTTAATTAACACGTAATCATTCTCCTCCTTTTACTATTCCGACAATGATGAAATAGAATTTTGAAACCGAAAATAACCGAAAAAGACCGAAGAAGACCGAAGATGAAGAGGAAGAAGAAGAAGAACTAATCACTACACTTTTTTACAGAAATCTAGCTACAAAAAGCTACCAAAAAAAAAAAAATTATTCATACCCTCCGGACGGACGTTTATTTATTTAAATATTTCCCACAAACTGCAACCCTCCCCCACTCACTCCCTCCCCTCCCCTCCCTCCCCCCAAGAGAAAAAATTTTTATACGACCGACTGTAAAGAAAGCAAAAAAAAATTTCAAATGAGTATTTTTTTTTTTCACACGTGGAGGAAGAAGAAGAAGAAGAAGAAGAAGAACTTGCAATGCGAATATCATTATTATTATTATCAATCACGTGTCATAATAATAATAATAATAATGGTGAAGAAGAACAACAAAAGAAATAAAATCTTCGTAACATATTGTTAAGCATTGCCACGTTCGACCACGACCACCACGACCACCACCACCACCATCACCACACCAATCAATCAATCAATAAATCAATCATTAAACTGGAGTACCGAAATCGGGATCCCCGAAACTTTCGTACCTGGTGTAACGAAAACTTTTCAATCTCGATTCCCTATCGCAATAATTCTTATTATTTATCGGTCCCCCATCTAAAACGGGTTTAAAATGTTTTATGTGATTTTCTAATACTTTTATACAACGTTCCGGACTTATGGCGTCGACGACGGAAGTAGTAGGAGGAGTAGGAGGAGGAAGAATACCGTTGCTGTTGTTGCTGTTGCTCGTATCCGCTTTCACTCCTTTTCCGGGTATTTTCAAACCGTATTTCCTCGACAATTTTCTCGTTTCCTCCAACTCGTCCGCTACCAATTCGTCGAGTATGTCTATTTTTTTGCCGTTACCATCAGTCGTCGTTTGATGAACCAGAAGACTGTCTCCCACGTGACAACCATTTTCGTTATTTACGTTGACGTCAAAATTTTTAACGTTGTACTCTATGAGATTTTCATCGAAACGATCCGTCATTTTATAATTTATATCTCTTTTCTTATTATTGAGACCATCGTTTATTTTTCCAACGACGATGACGTCATCGTGATGATCAAATTCTTTGTTTCCCGCCATTTTCTTTTTTTCCATTTTAACAATTTCCTTTTTGACGTTTGATTCCTTTGATTTTCTCCCCTGTTTACATCGTTTCATCGTTTCCGACGAACTCCTTTTTATTTTTTTACAAAAATTAACCGAATCCGTTTTCGCTGGGATGAAATCAGCAGACGTTTTGACGGTTTGCGACGACTTTTTCGAAATCTCATCCGCCGCCGACGCCGACGCCCCCGCCCCCGCCGCCATTCCGGAATTTTTCGAAATTGATTTTTGCATTTTCTTTTGTCCGAAACCGTTATGCCTGGAATCTTTCGTTTTATTTTTAAAACTCGTCGTCGTCGTCGTCGTCGTCGCGACCGTGGAATGATGACTCTTTTCATCCGAATGTTCCGTCGATAGAATGTCATCGTCGAAAGACGTCGATCCTCTCGGCGATGATAAATTCGAGGAAAAACTCCTGTCGAATATTTGCTGCAGGGTTTTCAATTCGACTTTTTCCACGACGTTGTTTTCCGACCAACAATCGTTCGGAAAATCCCTTTTGTTATTTATTTTCAAACAAACGTCGACGTCGGATCCGCTCAAACAAACTTCCAAACCCGAATCGCTCGTTATGTTTTTCTCCTTTTCCCCCTCCAAATAATAACTGAAATCATCTTCGGAAAAACTTTTTATTATGTTATCTAAAATACTGTGATCGTCCAAACCTGAAAATATTTTCTCATCGACGTATTCGAATTTTTTCATCGGTTTCGAATCCGGGATTTCGATTTGAATCAAATCCGCGCCGCCGCCGCCCCCATCTCCTCCTTCTCCTCCACCACCACTTTTGACTCTCTTTTCCGTTTTCTCGACCATGAAATCCTTGAGTAGATTTTCATTTCCGCTTTTGTTAACAACTTCGGGTATGTCCGTCTGAAAACGAAATCCGAATAAATCTATTTCTAATTTTTCTCCCTCCCTCTTCGGACTGCCCCCCACATCAATATCGATCAAATTTTCTATTTTTTCATTTTCTCCATCTTTGTAAATTTCATTTCCTTTGTTTTGACGACTCTCGTTAACAACAGATGATGATGATCTCCTCGATTTCCCATTTTGAATTTGTGATGATGATGACGACTGACAGAAATTTATATTCTTTTCGTTCCTGCAGGACTCAGGACAAAATAATATAACAAAAAGGTAGGAACGATGAGGAAAATGGAATGTAACAACAAAAACATAAACAAACATAAAAAGGCCCAAAAAAATAAAACAAAAAAAAAGGGGGGGGGGGGTAAACAAAATGGGTAAAACAAGAAAAAAAAGTAAAAATTTATTATTATTATTATTAATTAACAACATACAATGGAAAATTTTCCTTTTCCTTAACAACAACAACAACAAATATATATATTAATAACTATAAATAAAAATTTCCCACATTTTTAACAAAACAATCTAACCGCCATCAAACAAGGAATCGTGAGGAGCGGAAAATCCCTGACGACAAAGGGTAAAAATTTTCCGCGACTTGTTTTCCCCGCCAAAACATAAACATAAACATAACCAACGATAAATAATATTATTATTATTATTCTCACCTGTTTAAATCAGGTGTTCTGGGAGCCGTCGGAGTGTGTGCCGAATTAGAATGTAAAGGATGCAATCCTAATGCGTCTGAACTATCCATAACTTCCGTATCGAAAAATCGATACCTGCAGTGCATACAACATTTAAAAAAAAAAAAAATTAAAATTTCCCCGCTTTCTACGTCTGTTTGTTTTCTTTTCTTTTACTTTTCTTTTATTATTCGACAGAGATTTGTTTGTTTGTTTGTTTTTTCTAATACCTGTAACCGTATAAATCTTCGCTGAGTGAATTTTCATCGTCCGTGTCCACGGCGATGAATTGCACGAGTAATTTAACATCTCTCGTCTCTTCTAAATTCGTCAGGATTTTAACGGCTTCGAAATGACTCGCGTTTTCCAACGAGATATCGTTCACTTTCAATATAGCATCTCCGACGTATAAATTTTTACACTCGTGTGCCGGACCGCCGATTTCCAATTCGGATATCAATATGGGTACTCCGTGTTCTCTACCTCCCTGCAAAAAAAAAAAATAAAATGGGATAAAAGACATCTAAGACAATCGGTGCGGTTTTCCTCACGGACAACTTACCGTTATGGAAATCCCTAAACCTTGTCCCTGTTGCCTTTTCACAGTGACCGTCCTTTTCTCACCTACCATGCATGAAAAATCTTCGTTATCCGATGTGAAACTTTTACTCGTTTTGTAATTTTTTTTCTCGCATAAACCCGACTCGTCAGTCTTTATTTCATCCCTACTACTACTACTACTATTATTATTATTATTATTATTATTATTACTATTCGTTTTTTCTTTTTCCGTCGTTTCGCTCGTTTTCTCACCGTTGGAAAAAATTTTCACGTCGCTTTTCTCGTCTACGTCATAGCAGTTTTCCACCGCGGATTCGTCATCCGGCGAACAAATGTTCCCTCCGACGTTTAAAATATTTTCGTCATTCTCATCCGTTTTTGTCGTCACACACTTATTTTGCTCGTTTTTCATTTGAACAATGTAATTCGAATCGTCGCTACGATTATTGTTATTATTATTATTATTACTATTATTATTATTACTATTATTATTATTACTATTGTTGTTGTTGTTGTTGTTGTTGTTGTTGTTGTTACTATTTTCGATAATACTATTTTCATTTTGATTGTTTTTATTGAAATTGTTGACATTGTTGTCGTTTCCCGTGGCGTCGTTATCACAATCATTCTCATTCTTTTGTAGTGAGGCATCGACGACTGATAATCTCCTACCACTATCCGAGTATTCACTTTTTTTAACGGCGTCGTATTTTTTCCGCCGATTTGTATTTTCTTCCAAGTTGAACAGAGTCGCGGCGGTGGCGGTGGCGGTGGCGGCGGCGGCGCTACCACCACCTCGGCGAAAAATACCGCCGTTTTTTAAAAAAATCCCATCGTTGTTCGTACGATTCAAATTTAATATTCTCGAATCCGCGGAAATGAATTCGTGATTCGTTCGATTTCTGCACGCTCGTATGACCGTTTTGTGACGGTGCAAAAGTATTTCCGATTCCAACTGCCTCCAGAGTTTATCCCTCACGTCCGTTCTCATTTCCCGTCCCAACAATTGCAACTGTTGTATCCTACCCGCCAATTCCTTATCCAAATATTTGGCCGCCAATCTCGCGCCGTAGACTTCGCTGTGAAGTGCCAGTATGGAATTCCTTAGTATTATGTTTTCGCTCTGATACTGGAGCAATTCATTTTTCAATTTTTTCAATTCGCTGTTGTTTTTAAACGTGACGTCATCCGAATACGAACCTGGAGAGAAAGAAATCGCAGACGATGTTTTGAACCGTGGAACGCACTCACGCACGCACACACACACACACACTCATCATCATCATTCTTCACTTACTTTTCGTCGGCGACAATTTCAAAGCCGTTTCGATTTTTTCCTTGTACTGTTCCGGATTCTGATTGGGCGGCAATCGATCCAATTGTAAGGAATGTAATTGTAATACTAAATTCCGACTTTCTTCTTCCAAAATTTCCTGTCGGGTTTTGCTGTTGACGAGTTCCGTTCTTAAATCTACCAATTCTGCCTGTTTAACAAACAAACAAACAAACAAACCAATATGTAATTTTATAAAAACGTTCTTCACGATTCTACAAAAAAAAAAAAAAAAAAAAAATGGTGAACGTTATAATAACTCGTTATTATTATTATTATTATTATTAGCATTAATAACAGTTCTCTCAGTTCAATAGCTTTCGGCTGTTTTTTTTTTTTTTTTTTTTTTTTTATGTAAAGGGGGCATGGAGAGAAAGAAAAAAAAAAAATCCAAAATCATTACGAAAAATTCAAAAGTCATAATTTAAAATAAATCCCTCCCTCCCTCCCTCCCACTTTACGCAACCACCACCACCACCACCATCTCCATCTCCATCATCATCATCATCATCATCATCATCATCATCATCATCATTACATTACATTACAAATAACACAAACACGCATATTATAAGAAAAAAATCATAGCAAGTGAATAAAGAAGAAATCAATAACCTTCAGACACACAGAGAGAGAGAGAGAGAGAGAGAGATAGAGAATGAGAGAGTCAGAATCAGTCAGATTCAGAATCAGTCAGTTAGTGAGTGAGAGTGAGAGAGAGAGAGAGAGAAATATATATAGTGAGACCACACATGATGCCCCAAGTTAAATTGGTCCACCGATAGCATGTATACAGATGGTCAGATGTGAAGCGAGATAAAACGCAAATCGAAACCACTTATTATTAAAAAAGAATAAAAACAAAATGGGATGAAACATGATTTTAAATAACATTATATTGTTTCTTATAATTGAATTAGTGAGTGTCGCGGTACTTATTTCATCAGAACCGGAACTAGAATCTTTTAGAACGTTAACCACAACGCCGGTAAGTTTTTCTTTTTTTTTTCCCCCTTTTTTTCTTTATTTCAATTATTATTATTATTATTTTTTTTTTTAAAATTTTAATTGCCTTTAACAAAAAAAAAAAAAAAAAACAAATCGTCCATCTATTCTACACATACACACATAAGAACACGCAAATAAACAATGGAAAAAAAAAAAAAATAATAATAATAATATTAAATCCCGTTTATAAAAAATAAAACAAATACCCCAAATCTTATTAACATAAATTATTTATTAATATTAATAATAATAATAATAATAATAATAACATTTCGATTGATTTTTACGTAAGAGAAAAAATTAAAAAATAATTACGTACGAAGTAAAAAAAAAAAATTACGTGTCAAAGGTCATAAAAAAAAATTTTTATTTAATACGTAAAATTAAAACTTTTTTTTTTCCTTCCTTTTTTTTCTTTCCTTTTTTCCCCGTTGGAATAAAATAAAAAAAAAAAAAATTAGAATAAAGTTAAAAATAAAATAAAAAAGTGTGTAAAAGTGCATTTCTTTAAAATGAGAGAAAGAGAAAGAGAAAGAGAGAGAGAGAGAGATGGAAAAAACTTTTTCTTCGCTTTGATTTCAAACACTTTTTATAATTTTATTATTATTATTATTATTATTATTATTATTATTTTTTGTGCCAATTTAAAAAAAAAAAAAAGACATAAGGAAGAACTATAACTTTTAAACTAATAAAAAAAAAAAAAAAAAAAAAAAAAATTATAAAAGGCCAACGACACAAAACTAAAACCGTAAAAACCATGTTATTATGTATAAAATGGTTTCCTCTCTTTTCATTTTTAAACATTTTACAGTGAGAGAAAGAGAGAGAGAGAGATGAATCTATTTTAAGAATCATCCAACAAACCAAACCAAACCAAAACAAAAACAACAAAAAAAATTTATTATTATTATTATTATTATTATGCAATTAATACAATTAACTAAGGATTTTTAAAGAACGAACAAACGAAACCCCCTTCCTTCCCCCCCATCCCCCCGCCATTATTTTCTCGCTTAATTTATTTCACGGAACTTTAATTAATTTTTTAATTTTTTTTTTTTTTAAACAAGAACATCGAACCGGCTTTGTTATCCATTGCCGAAAGGTTGAGAGCATTGGAACACATATATTCGTTAAGATTTGCCGCTCCGCGATGGGAATTAACGGTGGAAAGTCAAAATCGAAAATTGGAAGCTTTAGAATCGAAATTATCGAGAATCGAAACGCTTTTGGAATTGAAAATAGACAAATTGACCGAGGTATACCATATACAGGGATAAATCTCTCAAATATATCCGACACATACTCAAAAAATTCCCATTTTTTTTTTTTAGGGACTCACGTCGAAAACTTTAAAAGAAGAATTATCGAAAGAACAACTCAGTCGAAAAATAGATACCATTTACGAAAGGCTTAATCATAGAATGAGTTACATGGAATCGAGAATCGAAAACAACATCGTCAAACAATTGGTATATAGAGCATTTACATGACGTGAGAAAATGTTTACAATGTAACGGATAGGGGAATCCCCTAAACGACCCCGTGTTTTCATTTCAGACGAATCTCGACACGTCACTCAAGGGAATAAGCCTACAGATAGAACCATTGGAAAAAAGTTACAACGAAGTCGAGGGAGATTTAATGGAGATATCAAACAGTTACGAAGAAATTAAAAATTTCATGACGAATTTCAATGCGACATTTTCCAATCAGCAAAACGACAACACGTTTAAAAACATAAGCGACGAAACGTTGAAAAAAGTCGAAAAAAACATGGTCAATCAATTTAATAGTTTTGCATTGAAGGTTTGTTCGTTTGTTTGTTTGTTCCAGTCAAACAATTTTCCTGGGAAAAATAAAAAAATTTTAATTTTTTTTTTTTTTTTACAAACAGATATCGGACATGTATAACGAAATGATAAGAAGAGGAAAAATGAACGAAGACATGTTGAAAAATTCTATAAATTTATTTAACGTCACGAGAAAAGAACTTCAAGACTCTGTACAAATTCTCAAATCCCACAGGAAACATTCGTGTCAATCCATGCCGGATGGTACGTACACCTTCTTATCTCATATTTTCTTGTACCTTAAATTCGCGATCGCGATACCCGATTACCTAAGGTTTCGAAATTTTCAGATACCTACGATTACCTGTTGGAAAAAATCGATACCATGACGAGGAAAAACGAGGGTAATTATCAAAGATTGGATACGACAATTGAAAGACTTCACGAAAAACAAGAACTCTATCAGGAAAGTTGTCACAGGCTTCAACTCAATGAACCGCAAATAGAAAATAGAATCGGACAAATATTAGAAAAAATTTTAGATTCGATTGATAATCGGTAGGTTGAAAACCTCTCGTGACCCCCCTCCCCCCTTTGATTGTTCAATGAATATTTTTTCTTAATAAACAGATATGGCGACAATAACTTTTCTTTTCTCGTTTCAGCACGTATGTAACGGATAAAAATTATGATACCATCCTGGAAAAGCTCAAAAGTCATCATTCGCACGTTATACGAACTCTGGGTCACACGGGTAACGCTGTTATTAAATTAAGCGAACAAATAAGCAACGATTTCAAAGCTTTGTACTACGACATTGCTGTCAACAATCCGACAGTACATAAAATTGACGTCATCATAGGTAGCTTAAAGGTAATAAAAGCAAACAAACAAACAAACAAACTTTATAAGGTAAGGAAACAAACGGAAACAAATTAATGCACCTGTTTGTTGTTTGTTTCAGCAACTTCAAGAACAATTTTTCGAACTTAATTTAACTCTAACCTACACCAATCATGAATTAACACCGACGAGCTTGCATAATCAAGAGGTTTTAAATACGACGGCGACAATATTGACCCTAATGCAAAATCTAAATGAAAATATTAATATTATCATTGATAAATTGAACAACCATTACTATCGCTCGTATCCCGAAACCTTTGAACCCGAGGATAAAAACAATCCAATTGATTTTTCTAAAAAAATTTTAAACATATTCAACATGACGGAAGATGATTTATATAGAAACGCACCGAAAAATATTGGCAATACTAAATTCAACGAAGATGACAAATACAATAAAAATAATAATAATAATAATAATAATAATAACAATAACAACAATGGTCATGGTGATGGTGGTGGTGATGATGATGATGATGATGGTGGTCCTGAATTTAACAGTCATTCAATTTTTTTTCATCAGGATGAATTTTCAAACGAAAAAGGACTCGATTGATATACAAAAAAGGCTGATAATAATAATAATAATAATAATTGCTGAAATAAAAATTTTTTAAACTTTTGCTTTTGAATTCGATTAAAAAAAAAAAAAAATTATTATGATTGATTTTTTTTTTTAGTACTTTTAGTATTACATTGATAAATTATTTAGAATGTATTATTATTTATCTATTGATTAGTTGAAAAAAAAAATTATTAAATACTTTGCATGCGATTAAAAAAAAGTATATAATTATGTAACAATCCCCGATAAATTTAAATTATCATTCAATTTTAAATTTAATTTCAATTCGATTTGAATTGAACGATTTATGTTATAACAGGGAAAAACTTCATTTTGAAATATAGTTTGTTTTATATAGATAAAAATTGTTTTCGATTAAATGTTAATTTAAACGAGAAAAAAAGCATAAATTTTTTTTTTTTTTAAATAGTATTTTAAAATAAGATGAAATATTTTTACTTTATAAATAAATTACTATTGATTTTTTATTGAAAAGAAATGCAATAAATAATGATGATGATGACATTAAAAATTTGTTATCGATTAATTGTATAATGTGAAATTTTATAAAAAAAGAAAAGAAAAGAAAAGAAAAGTGTTAAGTAAAGTAATTATTTAACTTGTAATTTGGTTTTAAAATAATAAATATAAAGTATAGAATTATTTAAAAAATTTATTTATGTGACATTTACCTCAATTTTTGCAGAATTTTGAAATATCGTTTGGGCTTTATGCGTTAGCTGAGCAAAACATGAGCTTAATCCTGCTAATTTTTGCCTGGCAGAATGTACAAAATCAGGTTCTTCAGCATCTAAATCTTCTGTAAAAAAAAAAAAAAAAAAAAAATTATAAAATAAGATTGAAATCAAATTTCAAAAGAAATTAATTTATAACCATCTGAAGGATATTATAAAATTTCCCATGACCAATAAATTAAAACAATAAGAGTGAGTGACATGACAGTATAAGAGAGAGAGAGAGAGAGAGAGAGAAAAAAAATTTTATTAAAAGTAATAATAAAAAATATAAATTTAATAATAATTACTATTTATAAAATGAAATTTCGAAATCATTACAATTTAATATAATAAAATAATAGAAAATAATTATAGTTTTCTTTTTAATGCAGTCTGTGGGCTTCTCTTCAGTAAGCGTCAAAAAAATTTTTTTAGTTTTACATACAAGAGACAACGGTTTAAAAAAAAAAAAAAACATGTAAGAAATTAAAAGAAAATAAAATAGTTTAAACATTTTAATTAAATTCTTACCGATTAATAAATCTAAATCGACAAAATTTTTATCAAATTCTTTTTCTAATATTTCTAACCATCGAAAACTGACAATTGTAGCCGCCATTTTGGACAGCTTAGTAGAAAACTACGGTTCAAATTATTATTCTTATCGTCTTTGCCCTTAAGTAATGCAGAAGATTTTGCTACAAGCAACTGATACAGTTCACTGTCCTTTTTACAATTAACGGTTATAAAATTTTACATTAAAAAAAAATTTAAAAAATTTATTTTAACGACGATATTTTTAATTTTATTGAAAAATAAATCACAAATAATGATTTTTAAATAAACGTTCTTTTTATTAATTATAAATTTATTATAAGAAAACAAAAAATTGAGCTATTTTAAAATTATTTCAAAAAAAAAATTAAGGTTTAACAAATATGACTAGACAGGTTTTAAATTAGAATAATAATCGATACCTAATAATATCAACAACCGTTTTTTTTTTTAATTTAAATTTTTCATTTATTTAAATAACTTTAATTTTAAAAAATTTCCATGGGAAGAAGCCGTAGAAATGAAATTTCGGCATTGAAACGAAAAAAAAAAATCATCGAGATTGATTAATTAATTAATTTAATATTAGCTCAAATTTTATTAAGTTTTTAAATAATGATAATTAATTAATTAAAAAAAAAAAAAAGAAATTATCGATTTAAAATTAATATAATTAAAAAATAAAAAATAACAACAACATGATGATAAAATACTCAATTTCTCAGATTTAATCAATTCCCTTAATTAGGGATAAATAATACAAATCAATCTTTATTAAAATCCAGGATCCAAAAAAAAAAAAAAAAAACAAATCAATATATTCTAATATAATAATAATAATAATAATAATGGAGAAGAAATTTAAAATTCCAATGGGAATAAATAAATATTTATACAATCAATCAATCAATCAATCAATCATTGATATAAATCCACAAATTTCATCTTTTTTTAAAAGTAATTTAAGGTGTTGATTTTTATAATAAATTTTTTCCGACTATTTAAAACACATTTTCTTTCTCACCAACAAATATTTATTTATTTATATAATTTTCCTTAAGCTTAAACATTTTTTCAAAGCACCTGTAACCTAAGAAATTTAATTTAATTTAATTTTCACATTCACTCACTCTCTATCTCTCTCTCTCTCTTTCTTTTCCTCCTTTTTAATTGTTGTTCCATAAAAATTTACAATAATAATATAACATATATATTTCCATTATTTAAACGTACAAATAATAATAATAATAATAATTAAAGTAAAAATCACTTTAACTGAGCTTTAACGTGATGAAGTAATTCGTAATATGAAAGTGCATTTTCCGATTTATCGTTTATGAAAAATGGCGCTATAGAATTTGGTTCGGTTTCTATTTTAACGACGGCCGGCCAGGGTTTTTCCGCTTGTAAAAAATTTATAAAATGCCGTAGTTTTTCACTCGCATCGTTTTCCAACTCTGGTAAATCGACCTGGAGGGGGGGTGGAGGAGAAACGGGAGTTAGTGAACTAGAAATCTAAATAAATCCTTTCCCCTTTCCCTTTATACATTTTTTTTTTTTAACTTACCGCATCTTTATTGATTTGCCTAACGTCTCGAACGTCGAATATATTAACCAGGAAATCTTGACTTATGTTTTTCCCGATTAATAAATAAATGACTTCCGGAGTGTCCAACAGGAAAGCACCTCTCGAATCCAAATGTTCGCTGGAAAGTGTTAACCTCGCAGGTTGTGCAACTAATTTCTCTTCGAATTCGACACCAGTCTACAAACGGGAAAGACGATACAATTTATTAAAATTTTTATAATAAAATTAATTAAAATAAATAACCGGAAGACTAACTTGATCGTCTAAATGTGTCACGTGATACAAATCCGGATGTACCGATTGAATTAATTCTCTAAGAGGCAACGTCTTCAATTGTGACATCGCATAAACCCTGTCATCTAATCTTGTATTTTGACCAGTTTTAAAAGCAGTCTGAAATTATAATAAAAAATTAATTAACTAACTTTTAAAAACATTTCGTACAGGTATTGATAAAAAAAGAAAAACTTACCGATTTTAACAAAGCTAATATGTATAAGGGTATCAAAGAAAGATTAACGGGAGCCAATATTGTATTTTGACTACCGGATGTTTCGACTAATTTATACGCCGATAAAATGTCGATGGCCGCATTGATAAATGCTTCTCTCGCATCTGACAAATTTGACTTTAACGATCTATCCACGGCTGTAAAAAAAAAACAAAAACAAATCAGTCAGTCAGTTTTATATAAATTTAAACAAGATTTAAATGTCTTACCCATTTTCGACAAAAGTCCAACGATGGCTTGTTGATCCGCTGACGTCATTATATCCGTTAGATTTGATGACACGGGTAGGCATAACGTATGCACTCTGATTCTTCGTTCCCCTGTAAAAGAAGCAAAATTTATCGTTTATTGTAAAAGAAGATTGTAAATAAGTAAATAAAGTCACCATGTTTCTTTGAAAATAATAACCTTTGGCCGAAGTGTAAAGTACGGCTGCTTGAAAACAAACGCACTGCAATTCGAACAAACTGTCTTCGATGGCTATTTGCATACCGAATCCGGCATCCGGATTAACGTTTGGTAAACTCAATAAATCCGTACTTCGAACGAAAAAATTCCCGTGAAACGTGTGAATTGATAAACCCCTGAAATTTAAATTTAAATTTAAATTGTAATGCAACAACGCAAACAACATGGCGAAGTGAGGAGAAATTTTGAATAACCTCGAACATCGAACTCTCATAACGGCTTCGAAACCGATTTTCCTCGTTAAATATCGTCTGAGAGCTCGTACTAATCTTTCGTTGCTCAAAGGATTTATTCTTCTAAATAATGGGAAATGATAAATACAACCACCGGAAAACTGTGAAATTCCACCTGAAATCAAGAAAAATATATATATATATGTAACCAATCGAATCAAAAAACATTTTGTAATAATTTAAAAATGGAGAATTCACGAACCTAAAGTTGCTAAATCCGAATATTGCGAACTCACTAAAAATATATCTACGGATATTTGTTGCGTTGAACAATCCAATGATAATCTTTTATAAAAATCAGTTTGAGGTCCTAAATTTCTAACATCTTTCGACGATCTATTATTTGGATCCTCTCGAGGACTCAACGCTCCCGGTCCTTTGTTGGGCAAACAACTTTGAAAAACCGTTATCCTTCCACCCGTGGGAGACTAAAATACATAAAGAAAACATTAATCAATTTCAACGAGAGAGAGAGAGAGAGAGAGTGTAAGAGAAAGTGTGGGAGAGAGAGAGAGAGAGAAAATCACCATTAATTTATAAGCCGCTTGTAGTGCTGGTCCTAATGCAGAATTCGTATCGAAAGATTCCGCATATTTTTTAGGTAGCTCGTGTAATAAATCTTTTATAAGCTGTCTATTTTCATTTAAATTAACTAAAAGACTATCCGGAGTCGGCAGAAAAACATCTGAAAACAAATGTATGAGCGTTATAAAATATTAATTAATTAACGGTTCCACGTTATTGACACGTTTATTGATTTACCATCGATATCCGACACGACCATTTCGTGAGCTTGATTGTAATTTTCTGCAATTGAAAAAAAATGTATGGTCGAATCGAAAAGTATGAAACCGATTTGAGTTCTGGAATCTCCGGGTATATTGTCTAATTCTTCTAAGAGGACAGAACACAGCGTTTCCAAATAACCGGAATCGCAACCCCAACGTGAAACGTCCAATAAAAACAAATAAATAGCAGGTTGAGGAGGTCTCAACTACAACATACATACATACATAATTTTTTTTTTTAAAGTTAAATAAACGGGAAAAAAAAAAAAACTTATTTAAAAGAAAAAGAAAACCATATACCATGTACTCTGAAGGAGCGATAAATTCTATGGTTGAACTCCTAATTTCAGGTCGTCTGGATGGATCACCGTAGGTTTTCGATACAGGATCGAATTGAAATTCGTCCGGTAATTCATTAACGCGAAAGCACAAATTACATTTCCAACGTTTATTGTCGACGAAATAAACAAACGGATTAATATACGTTCTGAAAATATAAATAATTGTCCATTGATTTTTCCATTTTTCCTGTTGAATAGAAAATGTCGAATTGTTTTTTTGTGATTCCCTGTTACCTGCAAGCTCTACACCTGACTATAGAAGAACATTGAATAACGGCCAACTGACTTAAATCTCTAAATGGATGAATCAATATTCCTAAGGGCAGTCTCGATTTTTGTAATAAACTATTGGTTTCAGGTATTTTATTTAAAGTGCAGCAAAATATTCTAAAAATTTAAAAAAAAATTAAATTAATTAATAATAATCGCTTTGATTAAAATATTTTTCTTTTCTTAAAAATATATAATAAATAAACATAAATATTTTAATTTTAGTCTTATTGTATATATATATATTTTGCTTACTCAGAACTGCAATTGACACTATCCATGAACTCTTGATGTAATCTAATCGGTGGTGGTGTAACTTTTTGAGGAGGCAAGATGTTTCTGCATTGAAGCAAATCAACAGTTTCAGTACCCTACAAAAAAAACAAATGAAAAGAAAATTTTATTGCAAATTTAATATGTTTTTTCGAGATTTAATAAAAATCAATTATAATTAAAACTTTAAATCATTTACCCATAATTTATTGTATCCGTGCTGAGTTACAGACATCCTTTCCATTCCTTGCCCTAATGCATGCATACCTAAATGTTTCATATTGTTTGCAACAGCGTTCGAAGGCATTCGATTATATGAATTTTGCATGTTGTGTGCGTTTTTTGATGGCGGAATTTCACCCGGTAAGGGTGGAGGTGGTAATGGTCCCATTTGACCCGAAAATTGATTTTGATACATCCTCGGTCCTTGATCTGGCTTTGGGTAACCATGCAAAGAATGCCTATCCCCACTATTCAGTGTGTTTGGAGCAGTAGTTTTCAAAGGATATTGCTGACTTCCAACTGTTTGCTGTGGTAAATATCCTAGAGGCGGTCCAGTTAAACTCATAGGTTGTGATGATGATGATGATGATGACGATTCGGAGACGGGTGGAGGAAACTGTTGAGGAATATTGGGCTCTGAACTTGATAAATTTTGATGAGGGGGCTGTTGTAAAAGATTTACTTTTTGTGAAGTAGGTGTACCATAGAGAGAACTATTCATATTGGGAATATTAGGTTTGTCATAAGGTGATGGTTTCAATACAAAACCACTGTGAGGAGTGGTTGTGATTGGTGGCCCACCTAATGGTTTATTAATGGTTTGAGGCTGAGACAATAAACGAGGAATGGGATTGGGGCCAGGACCACCAGGACCAGGGATTGATTTATTTGAATACTGAAAACCAGTAGAATTTACCTTAGCCATTTGTTCATTTTGAGAAACTGCATCGTTGCTGCTAGGAGGTTGCATAGATAAATTATTTATATTAGAATTTGAATTATTTAATTTATTAGGAATTATAGGAGTGGGTTTTATAATATTTTGTCTGTTGGATTGCAAATTGGATGGCATCGAAGCACCAGCAGAATGAGGAATATTTTTCCACTGAGTTCCGGAAACATTTGACGAATTCATTTGATTAGGATTAGAAGAAATATTTTGATTTGGTTCTACTAGAGGATTACCAGGCAAACTAGGTTTAGATGATAACAATGGTGTTTGTTGTCTTGTTGTTGGAAATATTGAGGGGGACTGATGAAATTGATAATTACTGGCACTACTTGTAATTGTATTCGACCTTTTAACATTTTGAAAAATTTGGCCGTTGGCAACTGATGTAACACTTTTCTGTTGCAAAGTTGATATAGGACTATTATTTACAGATGATTGTATAGGTTCTACTTGACTATTTGGTGAAATTAAATTAGCTCCAGGGAACGGAGGCATTCCATTCGGAACACTTTGCTGGTTTTTATCAGCCATCATTTTCTTCCTAAAACAAATTCACATTAATTAATAATCTTTTACCTTAAAGTTAGGCACTGTTTGCCTATAAAATGTTTTACTATACAATTAAACTCAATAATTAAAAAAATTTTTTAAATGTGTTATACATTTACATATTTCAAACATTTTTTGCAACTCATTTTTTCGTTTGATTAAAAATTACAATTTTGAATCTTGTCAAAGAATAACTATAGAAAATTAATTATAAATTAAATTTAAAATTAAAAACAATTAGATAAAAATATTTTAAAATTAACTTTTGAATTAAATTTTTTCTATTCATTAATTAAATATATATAAAGTTGCATTAATCACTTACAATAGTATCATTTATAAAAAATTTTTTTCATAAAATATATGTATAGGCTGGGCAAAAATAAAACAAATAAAAATTTTTAAAAATAGATTTATAAAAATCAAAATTTTCCATTTTGCATAATAAAATAAATTTAAAAAAATTTTTTTTTTTTAAATTTAAACAAAAATTTTGACTGGTAAACATGAATCCTTAATAACTGTTTTATTTTAAAAAATAAATATTTTTTTACAAAACATGTCATTTACATATTATGCTGATAAAAAATTATTTAGTAGCAAAGTCGAAAGTAAATAATTAAAATTCTTAAATAAATATATATGGGAATAATATTAAAATAATAATATTTAAAACATATTTTAGACAGATTAATTGGTAAATTTTTTAAAATAGCTCGAATGATGAATTTTTTTTTTACTCCTCTTCCTATTTAAAAATTAAAATAAATAAAGTAGAAAAAAAATGAAAAAAAAAACAATTAAAACTTACTTATTAATTTTTAAAACTGCTAAGAGCACTTATAATAACAACCATCATCTCATTTCACAAATTAATATTTAAAATTTTCATTCTAATTTCGGCCATTTTAATGACTACATAAAGATGAAATGACGTGGAAGAGCAAATATTAACTCCAGCAAATCAAAAGCTACAAACAAAATTCCGGGGATAATTTTAAAAATAGATTTAACGCACTTTAAATTTTTTTTTTTTTTATAACTTGAACATAAATAAAATTAAATTAAACATTTTTTACAAAAATTAATTAAAATTTTATAAATAAATAAAATACTCATGGATGGTATAATGTAGGATTACATGTCACGATTCCCGCCATTTTTAAAACTTATGAATTGTGAACTTAAAAATTATTAGAAAAAAAAAAAAAAAAATTATTTTAACGGATTTACCCACTTAATATTCTTACCATAGTTAAAATAGTTAAAATGATGTGTAATAAGGATCTAAATATAATCATTTATAATAAAAATTAATTTGTTAAAATAATTTTATTACCAACATATTTAAAAAAAAAAAAAAAGAAAAACAAAATGTGTGTGTCCACAAAAGTGGTTTTAAATTTATTATAAATTATTAAAAAAAAAAAAAAATGTTTAAGAAAGAACGATGATAAAAGTATACATAAAAATTAAAAAAAGTTAACATAAATTCCATTAAAGTAAAAATTAATAATTTGAAAGACATATTTTGTACCTATAATAATAATAAGTAAGTAATATAAATCAGCGAGTTAATAAAATAATAAATCACAATTTTAGAAAAAACAAAAAAAACTTCCCTAAATTATAAATAAAATTATAAAATTAAATGAATAAAATAAAAATAATAAAACCTGATAAATTGACAAAACTACAAAAGGTAAAAAAAATTTTAATTTTTTTAAAAACAATTATTCAATAATGATTATGATAATGATAACATTAATTTAAATTCATTTTAAAATACTTTAAAGTAAATATTTACATATTAACAACATTTTTAAAAAATTTTAGGGAAGCCCAACATTATAATAACAATTATTATTGAGCTCTACATGTAAATTTATATAATTAATCGAAAAAAAAAAAAATAATAAAAACACAACCATGATAATAATTTTTTTTAAGTTTCCTCGGTAAAACAATTCTTCAGGATGATATATTTTGAATAAACTAAATTAATCAATAAAAATTTTAAATACTTTTTAAATGTTATTAAAATTTAATAAACCTAAAAACTAAATTTTAATTTTTTTTATAATACGTCTTACAAAAAAAAAAAAAATCCTAATCGTAACATTAACTTCATTATATCAATATTTAATTAAACTACATTCGATCAATAATGATGTCTTTCTTAACAAAAAAAACTTGATAAATATTTTGAATTGTAAAAACAAAAAACATAAATAAAATCAATTAACATTGGAATGTTACAAATAATGTATTTATTCCTGGTTTATGTTATGTAAAATTAAAACTTGATAAACAAATGTTTTTTTTTTATAAAAACATGAAAACATTAATTTTTATTATTCGTAATTTATGCTATTAATTACATTAACCAGAATTTAAAATTGATTTATGAGTGCATATTTAAACTATTTATTATAAAATGTGCTTTTATTATATTCTATTATAGAAAATAAATATTAAAATATTTAAAACTTTTAAATTATTTATTTTTAAATTATTTCGATTAAAAGTTTAAAACAAAAACAATTAAGTTTTGTTCGTTATGTGAACTAATAATAATAATACATTATGTTACTACTGTTAAATTATTAATTTTTTTAAAAGGGGGGAGGGGGTGTAATTAACCTAACATTTAACCTAATTATTCATATTAAAAAAAAAAAAAAAAACGTTATCTATTACATTGTTAAACTTATTTTTAAAAAAAATTTTTTTTTTCTCGATTATTTTTGGCAGTTTATATTTTTCTAGTTTGCGGAAAACAACAAATTAATTTTCTCCATCTACCATTTGGACCAATTTTTTTTATTTTTAACCTGCCATAATTATTTTTGTTGTTATTATTATTATTATTATTTAAATTAAGCATTCTTCTTCTTGATAGTGCGCAAACGATTGCATTATCGAAAGCATCTTTTAATTGTTTTTGTGTTAGAGCAGATGTTTCAATATATCCTTTAGCTCCCAAACAATTAGCAAGTGCTTTAGCTTGTTGTTCACTCACAGGAACTTCCTTGTTAACTAAACAAAAAAAAAGAAAGAAAAATTTTTTTTGTAACCCAAACTATTAAGTTTTTTTTTAAAAAATAATGTTACTGCTCAATTACCTGTCAATTGATTTAATAATTTTACATCTGATTTTCTATCTGATTGTGTGCCTACTAATAACATTGGAGCTTCTGGCCAATGTTTTCTAATTTCAGGTACCCATTTTTTTTGAACATTTTTAAAACTGCTCGGATTAACAACGGAAAAACAAACTAAAAATATATCTGTTTCAGGATAACAGAGAGTTCTTATCGAATTAAAATCATCCTAAAAATCAATTATTATGAGTAATAAGTAATAGAATGCTAATGGAAAAGTAAATATACAAAAAAAAAAAAAATTGATATTAAATTAATAATTTAATTTTACCTGTCCAGCTGTATCACAGAGTTGTAAACTGACTGGCTGATTATCAACCATAACTACAACTATAAAAAAAAAAATTTTTTTTAATTTAAGAAAGTATTAATTTAGTTTTAAAAAAAAATTATTAAACTAAAATATTTATTAAAATTTTATCCAAAAATTAAATTTATTCAAATGAGACGAAGTATGTAAAATAAGGCCCGTAGAGCGATGGCCTTTGTTTCCTTTTATAGTAAATCAAATAAAGTAATTAAAAAACCTTAAAGGCAACGCAATCCAAATTTATGTGTAATAAAAAAAATTTTTTTTTTTTGTACTAACCATTATAATTATCGAAAGCTGTTGGAACGTAATCTACTGGAAAATCGTTGGTCGAATAACTTACAATTAAAGATGTTTTTCCAACCTGTCCATCACCAACCAAAACACATTTAATTTTATTTTGACTTTCGCAAACGATTTCATTGTTTTTATGAGTTAATAATGTATTTTCGCATCCGACCGATGAAGGTGGCATCATAATATTAAAAAAAAAAAAAAAAGAAACGAAAAATAAAACAATAATAAATTAAAATTAAAAACTAATTGTAAAAAAAAAAAAAAAAAAAAAAAAAATTAATAAAGACTCAAATTCGTCGAGTCCATTCCTACACACTATTTTGAAAATTTCATCTTATTGACGTTTATAAATAAAATTATTAATTGAATTTCGTCTTGTTGCCCTTAATTTAAATGAATTTTCAAAAAAAAAAAAAGTTAAAATGAACTTTTTTTATTTTTTTTTATTTTTCACATGATAAATTTTTTTTTTTTTTTTACAAAAGCTTAAAACTTGTATCGTTTACTTAAAATGAAACAAAATGATGAAATTAAAAAAGAAATTATTGTACCGAGAATTACACAGGTAGTGCAAAAAAATAAATGATCGACTGGAGTATTATTATTATTAACATAGAAAATGAAAATTAATTTTTTTTTTTTTTTTATTAATTACAGATAGATGCTAATTATTTCGATAATGAAATTAATAAAATATTATTTAATCAAATATTGGAAGTGTCAAAATTTTTAAAACCTGGAGCATTGAATAATTTCAAGTCAGAATTGAATTTCATTTTAAATTTAGTCATATATAAATATTCAATTTTACAAAAAAACAGTACGTTTGGACAAGATCTAGTAGGATTAAAATATAACGACTCGTTTAAACGCACAAAACTTTATCTTTATCCTATACTAAAATATTTTTTTCCTTACCTGAAGAAAAAATATGAAGAAAATGGCACAAGAGTAAATAATAATGTAATGTTACTGAAAAATATATGTGACTTGCAATTATTTCGATTGATGTTCTCTTAAAATTATTATTTTTGTTATTTAGATATGGAAGATTTTTGGAAAAATTGAATTGATAGTGAAAATTAGTCAGTTTTTAAACCTATTAGTGTTTTTAGTGCAAGGAAAATATCCAACGATAAGCGATCGATTGTTAAATTTAAAATATGTACCCACAAAAAAATATAATAGAAGTGTTGGTTATCATTTTATGACTAGGCAACTTGTATGGTTTAGTATTTTGGTTTGTACCTATTTTATTTCTTTCATTTTCATTAATTATTTCATTTAAACAAAAAGGTATAATTAAAAAAAAATTTTTTTTTTTATTTTTTCTTACAGGAATTGCTAAAATTAATTTTACCATTAGTTAATTATTCGAAAATTAAAAGTAAAATTAGCACTTTAGTTTTTTCTAAATTTTACACAAAGAGGATTAAAATTCATACCAAGTATAAAAACAGTTCAAAATGTGTTATTTGTAAAGATTATTTAATTTTACCATGTACAATATCTGAAAAATGTTCTCATTTAGCTTGTTATTATTGTTTAAAGGTAAATAATTTTTAAATTATGAAATAGAAAATAGTTTTTAAAAAAATTTTTTTTGTAATTATTATTATTATTATTATTTTTTTTACAGAGTATTATTTTATCAGACAGTAAATATACATGTTCTTATTGTCAAGAAACTAATACTGATTCGGATAATTTTTATTTTTATTCAATATCCGAAGAGAAATAGTTAGACTCCAAATCGTAAAAACAAAATTGGTATAACCATCGCTTTAAATTTCCCAAAAAAAAAATATTAATGTATTATTTAAAATTTAAGTGTAAGAAACTAAAATAAGAGTTTATTGTTTTGTTATTAAATGTGTGTGTGTGTTGTTTTGTATCATTAAATGTTATTAAATTTTTTTATTTTTATTTAACCCATTTCATTTGCCTTTCATTTTTTCCTAAAAATGTTAGGATGAATTTTTTATATTGCAAAATATTTTTACATTCTCTAAGTACTGTTACACAAACTTTAAAAAGTTTAAAATTTAATTTAGAATTAGAAAAAAATAATAATAATAATAATTTTAATTCAGTAAAGAAACAAAATAAATTCTTATTAATTATATATACGAGATAAAATCATGGAGACGCTTTGAATAGAATCATAGTGATTAATCTCATCTCGCTAAATAAGAAAATTAAAATAAATATTTTAATACCATGGATAACAATTTAGGTTGGGATTTAGGTAATTTTTATTCGAGAAATTTTGAAAAAATGAAAAAATTTAAAATGATAATAAATATATATTTACGTTTTAGATTTAGGTTGGATTAATAGCGTTTCCATTAATGCTTGGTGTTTATATGATAGCGAAAGGGATGCATGGGAAGAATGTTATAAATTAAATGGTATCTATAAAGCAGCATGGCTGTTAAAAGCAGTTTCTTGTTTAGATCTCACAACATTATCTGGAGATGATACTTGTAAGTATTTATAAATTACAGTTAGTTTTGTGTCTTATAACTTTTCTTTTGAAGATTTCATTTTATTTTTTTATTTATGTAGGGAGCAATGTAAATAGATTAACAATAAAAGCTGTAAATCCTATACCATCAAAAATATTAAGTGCACTTGAATTTCCACAAAAAACATTTACCACAGCTGCTGTTTGTGTTTATCCCTCTAGAGTTACTGATGCAGTATCTACACTAAAAAAATTATCACTTGTCGAAGAATTTCCTGTTGCTGCTGGTAAATTGTTAATAATGGAACTTTTTTAAATTATTATCTCTATTATTCATTATTTTCTGTTAATTGTAGTTAGCACTGGTTTTCCTACTGGTCAGTTTTGTTTAGACTCTAGACTTCTTCAAATTGAAGATTGTTTAAAAAATGGTGCCAGTGAAATAGATGTGGTCATTGATCGTTCATTAGTTTTAACAAACGAATGGGAATTACTATACAAGGAGTTAAAGCTTATGAAGGTTTTAACAAGTTAAATTACATTGTTAAATTTCCTTTAATGGATATTTTTTATCAAACTTAAAAATATTTTAGGAAAAATGTGGGTCTGCAAAAATGAAAACAATATTGGCTGTTGGAGAATTAGGCAATTTTAGAAATGTATACAAAGCTAGTTTAGTTGCCATGATGGCCGGTTCAGATTTTATTAAAACATCGACAGGAAAAGAAACTATTAATGCTACCTTTCCATTAGGCACAGTCATGATGAGAGCCATAAGAGAATATTATACGAAAACAAATTATAAAGTAAAATTATTCATAACAAAAATATAATTATTTTTATTATTAATAATAATAATAATAAATTAAATTTTTGTCATTTAAATTAATTTTAGGTTGGTTTTAAAGCTGCTGGAGGAATTAAAACATCCAATGATGCATTAAATTGGTTGGCATTAGCGAAAAAAGAATTGGGTGTAAAATGGCTTGATAAATCATTGTTTCGAATTGGTGCTTCTGGACTTTTACAAGATATAGAAAAGGAGTTATATTGTTTAACTTTTAATATGGTTCCATCACTAAATGAATTTACTTTGCCTTAAAAATAAAAAAATGTACAAAAGCATGTGTGAAAAAAGTTATTCAACTAGTTACATGTTTTTTTTTTAAATTTATAATTAAATTGATTTTCAAACTAAAAATACTCGAATCCTTTTTTTTTATGATTTCATTTTTACCCGAATATTAATGTCTACAAAGGTTAAATTACTTTGTAGAGAGAAATTTTAATTTTGTCATCTTTTAGGTCAATGGATCGCTTAATGTTACATCAACATTTTCTTTTTTTTTTAACAATGACTGATTGTCGACCATTATGATTCTAATTACAATTTAATTTTACAATAAAATTGTCTGCTTAGCATTGAATTAATTCAATAAATCAATTTAATATCAGTCCTAATTATCTACCATCAACGATTACTATTAAAATAATTTATCAAAATGAAATTATATCCTTGTAGTACAAAAATTTACATATAAAATGAAAGAGATCAAAATAATGATTTATTTATAAAGTCCAACATATTAATTTGATTTAAATTTACATAATAACAACATTAATATTATAAATTTTTTTTATTTATTTATACAAACTATTAATATTATTATTCTATTTTCATAATTATCTATTTAAATAATGACTAAATTTTAAAATGCCAGATTTTTTTTTATTTTCATGATAAAAAAAATTCAAGTCCCAGCAAGTAAATAAATTTTCTCGAAAAGAGAAATTATATAAAAAAAAAAAAAAAAAACCCCCGTTGGTTGCTTCAACTATAAAATTATTCACTTACTTTCATACACATTAATTATTAAAATAATAATAATAATAATAATTGACTTACCTAAATGATAATAAAATGAATTTGAAATTAAAATTATAATAAATGTTTTTTTTTTTTTTTTTTTTTTTTTTTTACATATGTCTATTATTTAATTCTTTCAAAATATCACCAGAATTAAATTTTATATATGTATATATATATATATATATAAAATTTTTATAGGCTTCTAAATACATAATAACTAATACATTCTATATATTTAAAAGTCCATATGTTTCTCCTTCATCTGATGATACATCAATTTCTTTTTTACAAATAACTTTTTCTTTCTCTCCAGTCTTTAAAACATCATTTTTATCACAGCCTACATTTAAACTACAATGTGTGCTAAGAACTTGTAAAGTCCTAAATTTTATGTCATTATTTTTTAATCCATCATCTTTACCATTTATGTCAGATGTAGATAAAAGCGAATGTGATGGAACATTAAGAATTGCCGAATTCGTTTTCGGACAAATGTATACTTGAGGGGGAGCTTCGATTTTAGATGATTGCAATTTTGAAAGGTCTGAAGGCAAAGCTGGTTTTTCTGGAGCATTCTGAATATAAATAATTCTAAAAATAATAATCATTCAATTCATAAAATTATTCATCAAGATATATGTCGAACATGATAAAACTCGAGAATAATAAATAAGTAAATAAATTCATGTGTCACCTATGAAAAAGTCTACATAAAATATTAATGTCAAATAACTGACCTGTTGTAAGCTTTCCACCTTTTGCAAAGGTTGACATAAGCTTTACACTGAATGTACATAAAAACAACACCGCCTGAGAAACCTATAGCCACGACAATTAGTTTGGTCCAAAATGGCCATTCTAACATTCCTCTTTCAAGCTCTTCTGCTGTTCTATCAATTAAAACATATAGTGACCAGGCAACACATGTTAATGCGACAGCATGAAAAGTTACACTGCAAAGAAGTTTTCTTTTCTCCAAAGGGGTCATCTGCAAACTTTCCCACTAAAAAAAATTACTTTTTTTAAGTAATGTAAACATCTTTACTTAAAAAAAAAATTTTTTTTTTAACTTATAGATTTTAACCTGATTAAATGCCTTAAGTTTAGAATGCATAATAAATTGGAACTTGCATAATTCACAGCATGTGATATCAGAACTTTTGATCCATTGTTGTAAACATTGCTGATGAACCCAACGAAGAGATCCCGAGCAATAACAAGGAGCAACAAGAGCATTGCCATTACTCTCTCCTTCACAATGACAAATTCTAATAATTAGAATTATAATTACTTCAGTGAAAAATTTACAAAATAACTACCAAAAATATAAAATCTTATTATATAAATTTAACAAATCATTTGTGATTATCACATAAACACGATTTGATTCACATTTTTTTACGTTTTGAGTGTATCACAATTGTATTTAACAGTTCACTTTTTTTTTTTTTTAAATATGTTTAACTTTTTAAAATAATAAATAAAAAATAAATAAATAAAAACATTTAATACTTTTGATAAGAGTGAAATTTCTTATTTAAAACCTGACACCTAAAGTTTAAACATATAAAAATAAAAAGATTGAATTTATGAACTTACCTGCATATGTCTTGACCAGCTGATAAAGTTGATGTTTCAGATGGGCATCTCACAGAAGTATCTGAATGATCATTATTAACAACACTATTATCTATTTTCCATTTATCAACATGTTCCACCATTTCATTATTATATCTAGCTTGTGTACCTGGTGTTACTTTAATATTCTTTAATGGCATTTCAACCTGGCAAAGAGGAAGGATCCTCTTTCAGGCTTCATTTTTTTTTTTTTTTTTTTTTTTTAATCACTCTTGCTCCATTTAAAAAAACAATTTAATTTAAAAAAAAAAAAAAACAAAAAAAAAAAAAGTAAAAAAAAATATATAAAAAAATTAAAAAAGGAATTGGTTTAACAATTTGTGTGTCAAACTCTTGAATTTAATTATAATAAAATAAAATTTTTTGGCTCATTTATCGAAGCTTAAACAAGCAATCAAAGCTTTTTTTTTTGGCAAGAATATGGTAATTTATATAAATATGTTAAACCACATTATTATATTACTAAAAGTTCAATTATGCCTAATTAAAACATAATATATTTGTATTGTAGGTGAGGCCATTTTTAACTTCTGCTAAACCGACAGGATTTTTGCTTTCGTTTAATGATGTTTATATCTACATATATATATATAAATTTTTTTTCGGGAAATTTTTTATTTTAACGGTTTCAAAAATAAAAAATAAACTGTTAATGCCTTAATAATATTAGGCAATTTTAGTTTAAAAAACTTTTTTCTACATTGTTACATATTACTATGTCTTATCCTATAAACCAAACTGAACAAAATGAAATAAATTAAAATTTGATTAATTTAAATAAAAAAAAAACCAATAACAATTTAAATTCGTCATTTTTTTTCCCAGTAAATGTTAAAAATAAAAAAAAAGCAAAAGTTTTAAAAAAAAAATCGTTTATCTTAGTTTTAAAATTATTGTAAAATTTTGCTTTCGACAAGAGCCTTCATGTAAGTTTTAATTCTAAAGCCGTTGCTTCAGTTTGTTGCATCACTAGAAGAAAACAGTGATACTTAGAAGTTATAAAATAGGTTTAGTAGAATTTGCTGACTATGGAGGTAGATTTTTTTTTTTTTAATTTCAATTTAACATTAATTCACATCTAAAAAATAACACGTATTATTTAGTTCGAGTTTAATGTTAAATATAGTTATTAAATAAAATGACAGCATGGTCTCTTTTCGGCATTAGAATGTATACGTTATCAAAATGGCGGACAACAATTAATGACAATATCATTTCCATATTTGTTATTAGGACCAAAAAAAAGAAGAAGAACAAGAAGTTAATACCGAAGAAGAAAATCTGTCGGAAGAATTTTTAATTAAACATCCCCTACAAAATACGTGGACGTTATGGTACTACGAACTCGATAAATCAAAATCGTGGGGAGATAATCAACGGGAAATATTTAGTTTCGACACTATTGAGGACTTTTGGAGGTATTTTAATAATTTTAAAAATTTCATTTCAATACGAACAATGTCATGATTACTAATCGGATATAATTTTATATTTTAATTTATAATTAAATTGAATGGGAAAACTTTTCAATTGAAAATTTTTTTCTTTATGAATTACTTGGAAAAAAAAAAAAAATTTTTTTGATAACGGTATATAAAAGAAATATGTTTAATAAAAATATCATTTTGAGATATTTTTCTTTCTTTCTTTCTTTTAAAGCCCCAAAGTTATAAAATTTATTAGTTTTTTACCAAAATTTTAATCGCTTGAAATATGTAGTTGATGTATATTGTGAAAAATTACACATATGGAATGAAATTTTTTTTTTTTTTTTCAATTTCAGTTTATACAATAATATAAAAAGACCGAGTGAGCTTAAAGTCGGTTGTGATTATTCTTTGTTTAAAAAAGGAATAAAACCAATGTGGGAAGATTCGGCAAACAATCAAGGGGGTCGTTGGCTTATTAGTCTTGAAAAAAAGCAAAGAACATCAGATTTGGACAAATACTGGTTGGAAACTGTTAGTTTTTTTTATTTCTTTTTATTTTATTAGTTTCCCTCTCTCTCTCTCTCTCTGTTGTTATAAATTTTAATTTTCTTTTCTTAGATCTTGTGTATGATTGGTGAAGCATTCGATTCACATTCTGACGATATTTGTGGATCTGTTGTTAATATTAGATTCAAAAATGATAAAATTGGCCTTTGGACTGCTAACGGTCAACAAGCTCATTCTGTGATGGAAATTGGGTGAGTCTACGAATACCTTCTTACGAAACCTGAAAAAAAAAAAAAAAAAAAAAAAAGTTTTGTCATTAATTAATTAATTATTTAAATAATTTTAGGCGTAAATTGAAAGATCAATTAAAAATTCCTAAAAATGTCACTTTGGGATATCAAATACATAAAGATTCTGCAGCCAAATCAGGTTCAATAACAAAAAATTCATATGAAGTATAATAATAATAACAACAATAATAATAATATATATCTTCTTCATCGGCGTTTCCGTTTCCGTTTCCGTTTTTTTTTTTTTTTTTTTGCTTTAGTTATTTGTGTATATATAATAAGACTTTCCACCTCGTAAAAACCTGAAAAAAAAAACCTGGAAAAAAAAAATGAAAAGGTGTTTGTTTGTAAATAAAACCCCCCCCCCAATTAAAAAAAAAAAAAAAAATATTATATATATATATATTAATTACGTCAGTTGATATTTACTTTACGAATGAAAGATTATTTATTATTGTTTGACTCTCCTTATTGTGAAAATCTTATCGCACTGTTATTATTATTATTATTATTATTATTATTAGTAAGAAAATGAATATAATAATAATAATAATAATAAAAATTTATATTAATTTTTTTTTTTACGATTTGTGATTGATTGATTGATTGATAAAATAAAAAATTAAATAAAAAAAAAAAAATGAATTTCGTATATTCTTTCTTTTTATAAAGTGATAACGTGTTATCACACACACGCACGCGCACGTACGCGCAAACGTAAATTTAATGATAATAATGATAATGATAAAAGAAAGAAAGAAAATTTTTCCTCGTTTTTTTTTCTTATTAATTTTCCGGTTGATTGATTGATTGATTGCTTTATTCGAATGTTAAACTATGCAATTAAAAAAATTGTATGCATATTATTATTATTATTATTATTATTAATAGCTTTAATATTATTATTATTATTTATTTATTATTAATAACGATTAAAAAAATCATAAATTATATATATAATAATAATAATAATAATAAAAACAAAAAAAAAAAAATTTTTTTTTTTCATTCCCTGACATTTTGGGAATTTTTTTTCCTGGAAGTTCAGGAAATAATAATAATAATAATAATAATAATAATAATAATAATAATAATAATAATAATAATTAATTTTTTAAAAACGATGATTTTGTTTGTATATTGCTATGATAAATTGTTTTTAATATTAAAAAAAAAAAAAATAATTTTAATACAATAAATAAAAACAAAACAAAATTTTTTTATGATTCAAATAAAATCCTATACACACCCACGAATATCCCTCGTTTCCCCTCCTCCTCCTCCTTCTCCCTCCCCTCTTCCCTCCCCCCACCAAAAAAACAAAACATTCGACGAATTCATCATTATCCCAATATATACAAAAACCCATTTCAAATCATAATTATTTATTTATTTATTTATTTAAATTATTTAAATTATTTATTTATTTATATATAAACGTACATAATTAAATATTTTATTTATCTATTTATTTAATAACAAAAATTAAATTAACAAAAAACAAAAATAAAATAAAATAAAATAAAAAAATTTATTTTCCTGATTTTAATAAATAATAAATAATAAAAATAAAAAACAATCATTATCATCATTATTATCAATTATTAATTATCATTAATTATCATTATTATTATCAATTAACAAGAATTTCTTTTGACGCAACTTTTTTTCGCTACCAACGCATCCAAAAGCCTCAATTTGGCTTTTATTTGTTTATAATTCGCGTATATTCCATCCACGATTATTTTGTCTTGTTTTTGAACTCGACGACCCGCCACGGATTGAAATGATTCTTCAAATTCTTTTAAACTCCTCCTCAATTTTTTCTTCTCTTCTCTCGCACGTTTCTGTTGTTCGAGCAATTGAGACCTTTTTAATAAAATAATAATTATTGATAAGCGAGAGAGAGAGAGAGAGAGAGAGGGAGACAAACAAACAAACAAACAAACGCAAAAAAAACTTACAGTGGAAGCGCGTGAAGATTTTCGACCAAAGAATCCGAACTCGATGAACTGTTACGACTTTCCTCCAACTTTTGTTCTTCTTCTTCTTCTTGCTGTTGTTCTTGAGGTTTTAAAAACGATTCCTCCATGGCTAATGACACGTTCAAACCCTCAGGAGCCGAAAGTGTTCCCTCACCCAAATCCGCGGAAGTCGACGAAGGTGAATTTGTAAATTCCATCGCTTCGTGTTCAAGTATCGTCGCCAATTCTCCCGTGCTGTTGTTTAATTTGACCTTAAATTAAAAAAAATTTTGTTGTAATTTCACTTCACCGTCGGTAAACAAACAACAACAACAACAGCAGCAACAGCAACTCACTCCCGAATTTCGTATGACCAATCTTTTGAGGGACCTGTATCTCTGATATAGGGGACGCACCAAATCTCTGTCCTCTTTCGTTACCGGACGTCCGAAAACGTTTTCCAAATGCAACAAAGCTTTTTGCACCGCCAATTTTTCCTCCAGCAAATCTCCCCTGTTCATTTCCGTTATTTCGCTTGATCTTCCGGCTTGCTGTCGTTTTTCTTGCAATCTCTGATAAAAAGATTCCGTATAAAAAAAAAATTGTAAAACCCACGACAAAGACACAAAAGAAAGAAATTTTTTAATACTTTTTCAACTTCCTGTAGGACTTCCATCATTGTTTTGTTAGTTTTTGAATGTTTGTGGCTCGACGTCATCGACGTCGACGATGACGACGATGATGACGACAACGTTCCATTTTGTTGCAAACAAGTTGACGAAGAAGATGAAGTTGAAAAATTTTCCAGAGATGTTAAAAAACTTAATTGCTGTTGTTGTTTCGGCGTCGACGATTTTTCCTCCATCGATTCTTCTCGATATTCTAAACAAAAAAAAAAAAAAATTCCTGTCGTAAATCACGACGACGACGACAACGACAGCAACAACAACCATCTCGTTGACTACTTACGCTTTAATTGTGCTCTTAATTTGTTCAGATCCGAACACATTTTTTTTATGTCTTTGTTTGCCATTTTATCCGCTTGAGAAGGCCTGTACCCGAATTCTTCTTGAAAACCTTCTTCGTATCTTTTCAAATGTCTTTTTATGCTGCAACAGACAACAACAAACAACAACAACAACAATAACAATAACAAACTTTGTTCTTCTTTTTTGTTTGGGATCCAATCGATCCCGCTACTCACCTGCTTATTTGTTTCGTCAATTTCCTTTCTTGCGTATCGTAATTTCCACCCTTTCCGTGTCTCGCGTTGTGCTCTCTGGGAGGTGAGGGCGGCACGCTCGGATCAGTGTCCATCAATCTCATGACCAAAGAATTTCTTGGCGATATTAAAACTTCGATGGAAGGACTTTCAGGTTCGTCCTTAACGAAAACAAAATAAATTACATTAAAAATTTTGTATAACGTTTTAGCCCATTGCTCTTTCTCGCCCAAAAAGCAAACATGGGTGAATGGGTGCTGCATGAAGGAGGGAGGGAACGGGGGGGGGGGAAATTCAGGCAAAGTTCCAAAAGGGGAAAAGGAAACAAAATAAAAATAAAGGGACAAACAAAGGGGGGGGTCAATCATTCAATGAATGAATGCGTCGACTCAAAATAACTCTTGGAAAAAAAAAAATAAAAGAAAAATTAAAGCCAAAATCTGGGTTCCTGGCAAGCGAACATGTCGCGCAACTGACGACACGTTCGAGCCAAAAAGATAAGACAAGTTTTGACCACTTTTAGGATTGTAGGCGACGACGTGGTTGCAGATTCAACTCACCTCGGGTGATAAAACTTTTGCACGGCTCGTTATGGGTTCGCTTCCTTCCATTTGCTTGTGCAACGTTGAAATGTCCAAAGCGGGGGGTGAAGAGGATTCTTCCGGAGACGGAGATGAATCTCTTTCGGAAAATGATTTCGAACCCACGACGTCCGGCGATGATGACGAGGACGACGAGGACGACGACGACGAAGTCGATGCCTTTTCTTTTAGTGTGGAGCCTTTAAACGATGGGGGTCCGGGAGTAGGTATCGAATCTCCCATTTCCATTTTTTTCTTCGAACCTTTTATCCTTTTCCTCGTCATGTTTCTTCGTGCCCGCGTGGGAACGACCGCTCTCGAAAACCTTTCGCAGCTCCTTATTTTCTCGTGTTCCAATTCTTCCGCGTTGTGAAACATGTCGTCGACGCGGAAAACGTTTCTCTTGTAATTAACGTTCGACTCGTTGTAATCGTAATTAATTTTTTCTTTTTCCTTCTTGTTGTTTTTCGATGACGGAGGATGAACGGGAGGAGATTGAATCCCGTTGATTTCCTGTAGGACTCGAACTCTTGAAAAATCCTCGTGACTGCTCACTCTTCTCATATTCGAATCCTTTTTTCCTTTTTCCCCCCCATCATGACCATCATCACGGTCATCTATCATCTCCGATCTTTCTTCCGAATTTGATCTAATCACTTTGTTTTCCTGCTTGATGGAACCCTCGCTGTCCAACCTTTCTTTTCGCTTTCTCGGTTTTAATATTATTTCCGTCGCGGCGGATGATGGCTGCTGTTGCTGCTGCTGTCCCAGCTGCTGCTGCTGCTGTTGATGATGTTCATTTTGACACGATGTTTCCTCGTCCGTCGCATCTTTCATTTTGATTTTGACCGTGTTTTTCGTCAGGTATATCGACAATTCGTTTTTATTCGGTATGTTTTCCGCGTCCATTTTTTCATTGAATCTTTGCCTGCAACACGATTTCGTTTGCATTTCCTTTTTCATTTTAGACTTTTGAATTTCCTCTTCCAATTTCATGCTCGTGCGTTCGATATTCTTTTCGAAACCTTCTTTCTCGTAGTATTCCGTTTCGTTATCGTTGTACTCCAATTGACCTTTCGTCGACAATGAATGAACGGCGGAATCTTTTTTACTCCTTCGACCGAGCAATATCGTTGCCGTCAGTATTCTTTTCATTTTCGACAACCTGGATTCCTGTAACGAAAAAAAATTCCTTTAAATTTTAAAACTCCCGGGCGGGGGGGGAGGGAGAGAAGGAAGCGGGGAGGGTCTACTCGCAATCACGTTAACGTTGATAACAACGTCGAATGAATAATCGACTCATTCAAGTCGATCGTTTTATAATAAGTTACCGCGGTAAAAATTTCATTGAAAAACAAGTTTTCAACATTACAAAAAAAAAAAAACTTTTCGAAAAGATGACGAAGAAGAAGAAGAAAACAGACTACGAGTCTGCAATCGATTATTACGCAATATATGCAAAGTGTGTGAACAAACACTAACAACAAAAATACAAACGCGGAGAGAGAAAGAGAGAGAGAGAGAAAAAAAAACTTTTCTTTTTTTTTTTTCATTTTCCTTTTTTCGATTGTGTATCCGGAAAAACTCCTCCCCCTCCTCCTCCACGGCTTTTCCTCCGTTTTCTAATTTTTATTTTATTTTTTTTAATCGATCGAAAACACACAAAAAAAAAAAAAAAACATTAAAAATTTATGACGACAACCGCAACGGTTATTTTATTTTCTCTCTCTCTCTCTCTCTTTCTCTTTCCCTCTTCCTCTCTCTCTCTCTCTCTCTCTCTCTCTCTCTCTCTCTCTTTAAAAAAAGAAAAAAAAACCGAATACGATTCGAATACAAACGACATTAAAAAAATTAATTAATAACAATAACATTAACACAAAAATTTCCGGGCACCTTTAAAACTCTGTTGTTTTCACTGTTGCTGTTGCTCTTGATGATGATGATGATAACTACGACGACAGTAATTACACAACAAATAATTATTAATCACTACAAAAATAATTTTTTTTAAAGAAAAAAATCTTTTTCCGTTTTTGATCTGCTGTACGTAAACAACAGAAACGAAATAACAACAACAACAACAACAACAGCATCAACAACAACAAAAAACTTTTAAAAAAAACATCATCCTTGATTAGTTTAATTTTATTTGTTTTAATTTTTTTTTTTTTTTTTTTTAGAATAAAACAATAGTAATGATAATAATAATAATAATAATAATAATAATAATAAACCGTTATAATCAATCACGCTTGCGAAAAAAAAAAAAAATTTTTTTTTAATTATTGATCGGCAGCAACGTCTTTCTCGTGTTGGGAATTAATTATTTTTAATTTTTATTTTTTATTAATTCTGTGCTGTTGCTCCTATTGTTGTTCCTTCTATTTCTCGACACTTAATAATAATAATCGTCACTATCGCGTAACCTACGAATGATTTCTTTCGCGATAATCAATAATAATAATAATAATAATAATAATAATAATAATAATAATAAAAGACTTTATCACCGCGCGCCTTTATATGTCACTACAAAACACATTATTTGAATCAAGTTGGGGAAAATTTCGCTGTTGACGAGAAATAATAGTAATAATAAAAAAGTCCTCTTTTCGAGAGTGTTCTTCCTTTCAATGACGTCGTCGTCAACAAGGTGGCGGCTGCCCTGATAATGATGATGACAATAATAATGAAAAAAAAAAAAAAAAAAAATTATCGTAACGCGAAAATACAACGCGTGACGCGTGAAGGTAACTCAAAGGCTGCTGTTGTTGTTATTATCATTATCATTATCATCATCATCATCATCATCATCATCATCATCATCAATTATTATTATTATTATTATTATTAATTCGATGAGCAGAGTATAGAAATGAAATAATATAACGCGTATCCTCACAGCGAGAAAACATTAAAAAAAAAAAAAAAATGAATGAATGGGATTCGACGTCAATCATCGAAACAAACGGAAACAAACGGAGACAAACGCAACAACATGGCGAACCACTCAACAAACTCCAACAAACAATTTATTTTTTCGCATTTGACGTTTCTGCCACGTACATAATAAAACATACATAAAAATAAATTCAATTCTTAATTTTTTTTCAAAGTGTGACATTCTCTCTCTCTCTCTCTCCCACTCCTGATCCCTATCGAATGTGATTAAAAATAATCGAAATAAGGATAACGATAATAATAACAACAACAACAACAACAACAACAACAACAACAACAATAATAATAATAATAATAATAATAATGCATCATCGTTTATTTTTATTTTTTGTTTTCACCTTCGCTTTTTCGAAAAAAAAAAAAACTTCCGTTCAACTCTTTTTTTTTGTTGTTAATAAACAATATCACAAATGGAAAATAATATCAATGGCACGATTATATAAACACCTGATGACCGATATTAGATAAAAAATGTATATTTATCGATTTCGATAGATCGATCTCGATAAATCGATTCAATCTCGGTCAATTATCGAATAATGTAATAATAGGGAGTGCATGTTGAAAACTACCGGGCAATTACCTACGTTTCTTCTTCTTCTTCTATTCGTACGCAAAAAAGAGAGAGAGAGAGAGGGGGGGGGGAAAAAAAACAAACAAACGCCAACGATACTACAAACAACAAACGAACCGTTTTCTAATGTTATTCAACTTAATAAATAAATAAATAACTGATGCGCACACGTAAAAAAAATTTTTTTTTTAAACACAAGGTCGAAAAAACTTTAACCTGATTACGTTACGTCATTTATTTACAATCGTTAAACGGTTAACGCCGTTTTTTTTTTTTTTTTTTTTCTGCTTTTCTAAAAGTTGTTTCGAATTCGTTCGGTTGTTTTTCTCCCCTCTCTCTCCCTCTCTCCCTTTCCCCCCCTTTTTTTTAAATAAATGAAATCAAAACGAGAAGAAAAAAAATAAAAAATAAATGCATAATATAATATATGTTGTTTTACTTACCTTATCCGATGATGGCGGCGGAGGAGTGGTTGTTATTGAATTATCATCTTCGTCGAAAGCTGAACAAAAGGTAGGACGTCTCATAACTATGGCTTCACACTCGTCGTCTGCCCAGCAGCACTGCAAAAACAAAAAAAATTAAAAAACAAAGTCGACAAACCGAACGTTATAAAACAAACAAATTTTTCTATCGTTTTTATAATCGTTTAATCTCGAATACGTCGTCGTCATATCGATTTATCGATGGACCGGAAGTCGAAAGCCAAAAAAAAAAAAAAGGTACCTCCTGAAAATATCCGTTTCGAAACCGAAAGAGAGTAAAAAAAAAAAAAAAAAACAAAAAAACAAAAACAAAATGACGAATGCTATGGATGAACTGGAAATTTACTAATTTTATTCGTTGCCATGATAACATATTTAAAAAAAAAATGACAAAACTTTGCATTCTTTCCTCCATTATTTTTCCTCGGGGGGAAAGGGGAGGGGACTGCGCTCGGCTGGGAGGAGGGAAGGGAAGGGGAAAAATATTAAGCACCGAATGTCACCGCGAGAAAAATAAATTAAATAAACGAAAAATTACAATAATAATAATAATAATCGAAATGTGGGAGAAAAATTTTTCACGATTCGTATCGCGCAAACAAACAATCTTACAACCAGAACAACAAACAAATTTTAAAATAATAATAATAATAATAATAATAAAAAGGGGCATACTCACAATATAATCCCTTACTATAGTCCACAGAATGGAAAATATGACGGCCGTACTGGTATCACCGGAAAAAATACAATATTTAAAAAAAAAAACAATACGTAAAACCCGACGCGTTTTATACGCGTATGTAAAATAATAATAATAATAATAACGACCACGAAAGAAAGTAATCAATCAATCAATCAATCAATCGATCGATGATTTAGCACCATAAGATTCCAATATCACTTTTATCACTTTTACATAAAACAAAAAAAAAAAAAAAAAACTGTCGAGTTTTGTTTATTTATTAAACTTATTTCCACTCGCGATAATTTAACGATTGTTTTTTTTTTACATTCCCACTATTATTATTATTATTAATAATAAATTTAAAATCAGCAAAAATTATTATTATTATTATTATTTAATTAAAGCTCATACGATTATATATATATAAAATTTTCTTCTTCTTTTTTCTTCTTACACAAATAAATATATATATTATATGTATATGTATAAATATAAATATTTTTCGTAAATATATACACGTGTATAAACGTGTGTTTGTGTATGCGGTGAGTGAGTGCACGTGTGCGTGTAAATTTTTTTTTATATATGTATGTATTTTGGAGATCAGTTCCGCTTTTTAAATTACGTCAAATTCAAATTCAACTCTTCTCGATATAAATGTTTAAATTTTACGGCATGACAATGATTTGCATAAAAACAAACGACAACAATCAACAAATAACATCAACATAACAACAACAACAACAAATTTTCTTTTTTCTTCTTTTCCATGCGTATGAAATTTTCTTTTTCCCAACGTCGAGTTACATACATATACATATATTTTTTTTATATATACACACGCACACTTATTATTATTATTATTATTATTATTATTATTATTATTATTATTATTAACAAAAATATAATAATTTAAACTTTTTATGTTTTTTATGTTTGTGTTTTTGTTATGTACATAATACGAATTATTTACAACACGATTAATTGTTTCCTTTTGTACTTATATTTGCTGTTGAACTAAAGGTGTATATAAACAACCAACTTTTTGGTTTTCTCTTCTTCTTCTTCTCCTTTATTATTATTATTATTTTTTGGTAGTTTTTCCTTTTTCCGCAAAATTTCCTTTCGAGAAACTTTTCCTTCTTGTTTTCTTAAGTAGAACCACGAACGCGCGCGTAAAAATTTAAATAAATAAATAAACTGCGTTGTTGTTTTTCTTCTTCACCTTTGTTATTATTATTATTATTATTATTATTATTATTATTATTATTATTATTATATTATCATTGATGTAAAACCGCAAAACGAAAACATAAACAAAAACAACAACAACCGATCGATTAAATTAATTTTTTCTTCTGTTCGTTTGTTTGTTTACGTTTGTTTGTTTGTTTTCAAATTTTTCGCGACGTTTTTTCACGCGCGTACATACGTACGTACATATATA